CGGTTGTTCGACTTGGAAAAACACGCATTTCCTGTCAATCTTAGCTCGGTTGTGGCCACCGGATTCAACCAGCCAGTGGCGTATCTCGTTGCTGCGCAGCGTCTCCGCGCAGAGCCAGGACCTCCGAAGTTGTCAAAGGGACACCACCCAGACTTTTGATGCGATTACAGCGCTGCTAGGGATTTGCTAAGAGTGTTCGCTCCAATGTTCCTCTCGTAAGCTTGCTTGAATCAAGATCTCGATTGTTTCTTCTGTCTCCGAAAAGACAGCAACGGACGGACGCTATGGCTCAGACAAATCGGTTGAAGCGCCGGCTGGCGTTGCTTTACCAAATGCGATTGAATGGTACTGCGGAAGAAGTGGAGGTTTCTGCCAGCGGCGTGGTTGAATAACTAGGGCGTCCCTGTTTTCAGCTCTGCATGTCTCAGTCTTACGAATTTCAGGCTCGGGTTTGCACTGGGTATCCTGGTGGTTCCCTCTCTATCTCGACCCGTTTCCGCCATGAGACAGCGGGGACAAACACTGCGATTTGCTGCGGACGGCCAAGTCCGAGTCAGCAGGCCGACAGACATCGCACAAAATATTCTCCGATCCTTCTCGCCTTGTAATTTCAGTCCCCCCAGAACCGGAAATGAGGATGGAGAGCTTTCCAGGCGCACATGTCTTGGCTCGTCTTCGGTTTTAGATCAGATACATCGCCTCCAAATGCATGGCTGGCAGGAACACAAATTGCGGCCAATTGAAAATCAGCCGTTCTCGACCGCTGAATCTCGTCGGTCACTTGCAATTATCAGATGTTGCATCGAGTGGTCATTTAGGATCATTCAGAGACAAGAGAACAACCGCTTAGTCAAGGACCATGACCGTTTTCTTTTGGGGGCCAGTAAACAGTGTGTGCAAGTCTGGCTGACTGACCCACCTAGCCTCCTGCCTAACGGCATTTTGAGAGGCACTCCCCAGATCTACTTACAGCTGCGGGGAACCTCGAGTGGCTGAATTTCTGGTTCCATTTCGTCCTGGGGACCTTTGCCGCGGACACTGAAAACCACGGCCCAAGTTTCAACCTCAAACTTACCACCGCGCAACCTCGAGAGCGGCTCAAAAATTTACGACGGGCACACTCGGCGAGAACGTCTGGTGTTGATAGATAGACATCGATTTACAGCAGATCGCTTAACAACCTCCCACCAGGCTGCGCACGGCGATTCGATGGAGGCGGGGGGCAGTGTGATAGAAATCAAGAAGACACCAAACATAAGGCTCTCAAAGTACGGCTTGAGATCACTGCCCTGTAAAAACTCGACTCACCGTCCAAATGTTGACCGCACCTCGCTTAAATGTAAGACGTCGAGGCAGGTTTGTCATCAGGAGATAAGCGTTGCAGAAATGAGCCATGAGGCGAGTGATTTTCGTGTCAGAATGGGCTAAATGACAAAGACAAAGAAGAAGGGGGAAATACAAGGTGATGGTGCATCCATTGCACACCAATTGGCTTGGGACTATATCAGTCTTGCACCAGATCTTAGAGCCTAGAAGGCACTCGTTCTGCGGTTTCATAATTTAAGAATTGTAAGCCCTGATCACTTGGTGCATCTGCTTCACAGTTATAACTTGATGGTTTGCTGTAAATATTGTCGCGGCCGCTCCGCGTGTCAGTAGATATGTCCTGTGTGAAATCGGTGTGCAGATATAATCAGCACATGACATATCGCTGGTGACATCTTGCTGTTAGTCCAGTAGAATTGGTCAATTTGTGCCCTCTTACTCATCATACACTATGGTTCTACAACTCAAAAAGATCGAGTGATACAGAAATCGAGTAGCACCGCTCGATCAAAAACTGCCGAACGATTCAAATCTACTGCGACGCTCTTCGCCGCTGTCAAAGAAACCGCCCGGACAACTTTGAGTTTTCTGGTAGCTCACAAACACCCCAGGCGGTGTTCCGAATAACGCACAATCTGACAAATTGATCCCTGCACTCAACTCGTACTCGTAATAGACCACTTCAATGGCAGAAAGCTGATGAGAGCGTCGATACGAGAGCCAGAATTGCGCCCTAAGCTTGTATAAAACAAGCACGACCTCTGTGTTTCAACATCGTCCTCCGCTCTCTCTCCCTCCCGTTATCCAACAGGAAGACAAAATGGTCCTCAAGCTCTACGGTTACACGACCTCGATCTGTACCCGCCGTGTTGCTCTCGTCGCGAAAGAGCTCGGCGTTCCTTACGAGCTCATCCCGGTTGATATCATGATCGGAGCGCAGAAGGCTTCTGAGCATCTGGCTCGCAACCCGTTTGGTCTCGTTCCCACCATCAATGCGCGCATTCTTTGCGCCGATTTCGCGGTGCGCGTAAGGCTGACATGAACTCTTTCTTCCAGGATGATGGTTTCACTCTGTTCGAAAGCCGAGCCATCTCGCGCTATCTGGTCGCCCAACACGGGAACGGCAGCACGCTGGTCCCGGACCCCAAGAACATCCAAGCAACAGCCCTGTTCGAGCAGGCGATGAGCATGGAGAATAACCACTTCGATCCCCTTGCTCTGGACATCATGGTCGAGGCAGTGTTCAACAGGTATGTTTACTCTGCGCTGCGTAAGTTGAAGGCATTGCTTTAAATCGAACAATGTAGGATGCGTGGGTTGAAAACGGACGAGGCGAAACTCAACGCGTCAATTGAAAGCTTGCATGCCAAGCTGGATGTGTATGAGAAGATTCTGTCGTCGCAGAAGTACCTTGCTGGAAGCGTCAGGGCTCAATTATGTTTTATGGCCATCATCTCCTGACTTGTGCACAGACACTGACGATCGCCGATCTCATCCACCTCCCTTGGCTGTACGCTCTTGGTCATGTGCGTTTTCTGGACTGCTTCAGCCTGGATTCATTCCTCATCTGTTGACAGGCCAAGTTTGATGCGTTCACCGGCCGTCCCAGTGTGACTCGCTGGTACGAGGAGATGAGTGTCCGCGAGAGCTGGCAAGCAGTCAAAGATGGAGCTTGAGCATGATGTGAAGCTCGTTACAATTCGTAGACGACAAATTGAACGTTAATAACCAGTTCTTATTGATCAGATCGTGAGCCACAACTCAACAATCTGACAGCAGGGAGATTGGCATATTTGATCGGACAAACAGGAGCTCCATGAGGGTGTCGTAAAGTGCTGCAGGCGATCCAGACTGGTTTGTGGATTCGATGCATGCCCGCGGTGTCCCACTGGACTGCCAGAGTCACAATTATTTGATCATCCAAGGTATCTTTGTAGAACGGCTTGAGCATCGTAAATTCGCTTACTGAAAGATCGGGCGCTGGAGAAAATCAACGGCGACCCACCGATAACAGACCCCGAAGGGACTCATCAGATAGGTATCTGCTCAGTCAGAATCGTCCCTCGCTGCATAGCCCCCCATGTGTACTTTCAAGTTAGTCACGGCTCGATTTCGACCTTCTCATCGAACGGTCATTCACTCGCCGGTCTCGCCTCCACGTCTCGTTTTTCATCCCATGAAATGACATAAAATCCTCCATTTCTCTTCCAAGAAAGTGGGTCAGCACAGGCCGGCACCGATCCCGATTCTGCCCGTTCTCCAAGAGCGTCACATCGTGCATGATGGTCTTGAGCTTCCATCTGCCGTGCTCAGCATAGGCTGCGTCACCTTTCTCCGGGTGTCGGTATATAGATAGCCCCGCGGATCTTCATCACGTTGTACACGAATCCCAGCAGGTCTCGGATTGCATCGGCCGTGAATACTTTCTCGGATTATTCTGGTCGCATGACAACTCCGGACTCGCATGACGAACTGCGCTCGTGGTCAATCATGACAGAGACGTCTCACGCACAAAACACGCTGGTGTGCCGTTGGTGCCGGTCGTAAAGATCGCGAACTGCAGTGGTGTGGGACCATTTACTCCTTCTTCTTGAGCTCGTCGGACAGGTTCCGTCGTGATCGTCCTCGGGATTCCGACCATGCCTTTCTTTGTTAAAGGATTATTCGCAGTCGTGTAACGGCCTTGTCGTCTATCGAGGTCCGGGGCAAGTGCGCGAGTTTCCTCTGCTTGGACGAGTTGTTTGTGGACAATCATGTTGGAGAGAGAAGCTCGAATACTGCAGATGTGTCAGGGCTTTTTGGAAGTTTTACCACCCTGAGAATGTTTTCACCGGACCACACATGCTGATCAAAAGCCACTTTCGCGAAAAGATTCCCATTCTGATGGTGGAGGATGGACGGATGAAGGCAGGTGCGGGCGGCAATCACTCATGTAATCAGGCGGTGCTTTCAAAGCGCTATACTTGGCGGCAAAGGAACCATGAAAGGAACACCGCTCAGAAATGATTTGACACATTCATCATTTATCACACCGCCCTTTGAGCTCTGTCGCTCATACCCATAGAGCAGTCCTGCCCGGAAATCAATGTTTAAAGGCGCCAAGCTGTCTCTTCGTCATGATACTCACGCATGCCTTTTTTTACCCCTCAAAACGGTCTTACTTTCAGCTACACGGACAGCAGGATGACGAGGATCGCTTCTCAGGGCCGAGCGGTCCGGATGCCAATTGCGACCAATGAATGACGGGTACCTTCGCCGCGTGTATGCACATAGGGAGTGAGCAACCAGCCGGCATCAAGAGCTCATTCAACGCAAGGATCAATAATAAATTCTCTGTCTCAATATGACACTCCTTGGTTCATTAAGCATACTCCACTCGGAATTTCTCTTTGGAACTGCTCTAGGAGGATTGAAGAAAGTCAAGGTACCTCAAGTTCAGTTCTGCAATGCGCATGATAACCGTGTTCACGTCACGCAGATTTGGTAGTTTTTGTCCGGCCAGTTGCCGAGACAAAGACTTGGGTCCTAACTGTCTTCCTGGTCGTCAAGGGGCACAATTGGAGCGGGAGCCTTTTCCATGCCGTCTTTCATATCAATTGGAACGCCTGGAGCGCACGCTTCTCAACTGATTGCCTTTAAGCACCCACCGGTCCATCCGTTGTGATAGCTCCAACATGCCATCCTTGACACTCGAAAGCGGCGTGAGCTTCAGCTACACGGACAGTGCAGTCCCCGAGTCTAACAAGACAGACTATGTGACCCTCCTGCTCATCCACGGAGGCATGTTTCACAACGGCAAGTGCGGTTGTTTCTGCAGTCCTTGGTCTCCGAATTTATCTTCTCAGGCACATTTGCCAGCCTGGCGGCAATCGGGTCTTCAAATCATGTGCGGGTCATCGCCTTGAATCGCCGCGAATACCCGGGATCAAGTCCCTACTCGCCGCAAGAGCTCGATCTGCTCACCAGAGGGAGTGAAGCGCAGAAGAGTCAGCTACTAGCGGAGATGGGCCGAGATCTTGCCTTGTTTATTGCCGGGGTGGCCGCCTCGCTCTCCCTCCCAGGCTCTATTGCAGTTGTCGGATGGTCGGTGGGATCGCTGATGGTGCTTTCTATTGCTGCATCCATGGACATGCTGCCTGAGGATGCACGTCAAACTCTGACAACTTCCGTGCGAAGCATGATTCTCTTCCGTGAGTTTTTCATCGAGATGCAATAGGCACCCGCGTATGACCAGGTCATGCAGAAGGCCCAAGCGTCGCATATGGGATGCCGGACCCTGAAGGGATAGACATCCCACCCATGATGGACCTGATGGCTGCTGATGCAGATCAGGAATCCTCGATCACCCGTTGGTTGTTGAGCTTCTTTGCGCACGGAGATCTCTCGAAACATGACCCACGCAACTTGCAATACAACGTAACCGACTCGATTCGGCTGCCTACCATTCCGATGGACGGTATCACAGATTTCACTGCGAGTACCAAGTACGACGGTATCCTGATCTCTCCTCGTTTCCACTCAGTGACAGCGAAACTGCTGGACAAAAGCCTGTTTGATAGCCACGTCCGTGGTGAGTTGTGGAAAGACACCGAGTTTTTTGTGGTGACGGGCTCGGCCGACTCGTGGACTACGATTTATGCTTCGTGGAAGTTGGAAGAAAGGATGCGTATGGAGGCAAAGCCTGAGTGCAAGATCACATTCAAGATGATCGAAGGCGCAAATCACTTCGTAAGTCACTGTTCTACTCGGTGCTTCAACAGCTCTTATCAAATATCAGTTCATGATCGAGGATCCACAGGGTGCTGTAGATTGTTTCAAAGCATGTATAATTTAATTACCTGGACTGTAATTCCAGATTGAGAAAGGCCCAGACCGTGCAGTGCCTGATTTACGTATTTGTGAGACTGCTTATTGTCTGCATCAATTCAAAACCAGGCACCTTCTTGCAGGAGGCACTAGTCACAGTATCGATATTAGGGCGCATTTACAAGCCTTTCCAGATTTATGCAATCAGTGATCGAATTTATTATTTCAAACCCTAACAACCTAATAAACATATTTCTAAACCTAGCCAACCCTAACTGAGCCTATAATAGGTCTTATTTTTTTTTTGCTACCTTCCCCCAACCATAAATGAGAAAAATGACATCTCTAGGGACTAACCTTTAACCCCAATCCGAGCCCGAACCCGAACCGCTAATGTCCGCACCCAGAGGGGCGCGTCTTGTTCAAGACAGTAAGGCCCTCCATCAGATCTAGTGGAGAGAGGATGCCAGAAGTCTTGTGGCAGTTTGGCTCAGTGCGAAAATGCGTTGTTTAACCTTTCTTTTATTAGAGGGTGATCAGTTCAATTACCGCCGAAATCAAACACAAACGTCCTGGTTCTACCCAGTGGGTGGGTAGAACTGGCCCCGAAGGATTATGGATTTGTGGGTAGAACCAGGACGGAAGCATAAGTAGTGCTGCTACGTTGTGCATTTAGATCTATCTGATTGTCCACAGATGGATATTGCAAAAAGACCAATCGGGATTCGGGCCTCCGCATCAGCACCAGTCCAATCAATCAGATTTTGCGTGCGATACAAGATAAATTTGCGGCGCGTGACGTTTCGTTTCCTCCTTCTTGCGTCAATCTACCCTCGGTCTCTACGATCTTCCCACTTTTCTTCCTGGCTGCGCCAGCTTCCTTTCCTACCCCGCCGGCACGCTCCATTTCCAATGACGATATCCTACGGCCTTGCTTCGCCCCAGATCCTGGGTGCGCTTGAGATCGGCATAATGTTCAGTCTGGTCATGTTCGGAGTCATCGCGCTCCAGGCATACACGTACTTCACCCAGAACTGCAGCACCGACAGAAGATGGCTGAAACTATTTGTGGGTTGTATTTTCGTCATCGCCTTGATATTCCCTCAACTATTGCAGGTCGGCACGGTAATGTTTTTTGAACTGTGTCACTCAGTAGCTTCGTGCCACGCGCTGTACTACTTCACCATTGTCCTGGCGGGTGTCCCTGAGGAGCTCAAAGCGGCCAACAGTTACAGCCTGTCCATCACCCCCGTGTTCGAAACGATCATCACCGCTTTGATTCAGGTAGCGGCGTTTGTGTTGGAACACTTGGGTCGTGTGCTGATTTCGGGCAGTGCTTCTTTGCGTTCCGCATCCGCATTCTCTCAGGCAGTCTGCGGCTCAGCGTTCTCTGCTGGGCACTCGCGGTAGTCCGGCTCGGCGCGGGACTCACCATGTCGGTGGTTTGTCTCCTCGATGTCCCTCTCGAGCCAAACAACTACTACCTCGTCGAAACGTTCGGCGGGATTATCACTGCTGCGCTGGTCGTGGGCGTCGTCCTCGACGTGATCATCACAATCGGGCTGTGTGTCTATATCAGGCGGCTCTCCACCTCGCCGACGAAGATGCCGGATGGAAGCCAGCAGCTCGTGAGAGGATTGATCTCTTGGGCCATCGGTAACTCGATCCCCCCGAGCTCTCGATCACTGCTGAATAACTGGAAACACTCAGAAACAGGACTCATTACCTCTCTTACGTCCGTGACCGTGGTGATTACTGTGAGCAAGATTTGCAGCCTCCCAAGAGACAGTTCGCTTAGAGATCTCAGTTCCAAACTATGAAACACGACTGCACGTTCTATTTTGGTCCTCATACAGTTGGATAACCGGTTCTCTGCAGGGATCTGGCTAGCTCTTTACACCTTCCTAGCAAAACGTAAGCTCGACGCTCTTCCACCATCAATCCATTAATCCAACACGCCACTAGTATATTCCAACTCGCTCCTCGTCTCACTCAATGCTCGCGCCCGTCATCGGGAATACGTACGAACGGGATCATCGGATCCTGCTCTGTCGTGGAATTCCGCCCAGAAACTCGATGACGTCAATGAGGCTACCCCAGCAGCGATTCACCAAGAGTCAAAAGATTGGGCTGTGGTGAGTCGAAACTTGTATGCCGAAGAGCGTAAAACATTGAGTGAGCCATCAAATAGTCGCTGCCCGCAGCTGCATTCAGTCCGAGAGGACATGAGAACGTATGAAGCCAAATCAATCATTCGGTGTATGTAATTGTATAACTTATTCTTCCGTGCATGTAACTTGGCACTGCATTCCATCTACTGGCTCTGATGGTGCACACATCCTTGAAGATCCCTTTAGGATTTGGAGAGATCTCCCCATTGCTTTCTCCACCCAGAGGTTGAGGTTGAGGAATCTGAAGCGGCTGCACGGGCGCCTCACTCGACGTATACTTCTCACGCATTCCCGCTGGCCTGGTGTCCAACGTCACTCGGAACAGAGCCGCGAAGCGGAAAGCACAGGATATACTATCAGGTTGACAGTTCCGAGACGAGGATGCGATGATGCCCCTGCCATAGCCCAACGCTTTATCTCTCAGTTCAACACTGGATGCGCGCGCCTGCTCCACCCTGATCTTCTCCGTGAAACCCGGAATTCAAACTTCATTCACAAATACACGATTCTCGCTCATGACCCCTGGATTCAAGGCCGTCTGCTGTTTGCCAGGGACGGCGAGCCTCAAAATCTCACGGCCCTGAACTGTTTCGATGCCAACGACCCCCTAAGGCTGTACAGCGCAGCATGAGTTTTTTTTCCCTCAGTCTCGCTTTGACAACCACCCAGGGCCTGGTCGCTCTTTCGTACTTCCTTGGTCACGTGTCATCAATTTTTGTCCGTTTCCTAACGACCTGGGCACTTGTCTTTATGAGACTTGTAGGCTTCAAGCCATACGTTGGTTTCGATTAACAACCGGGGCTTTTCCATTGTATCCGGCGCTTGAGCTCACTGATCGACTCGATATTTTCTCAGCTTGAGTATTTGACCCTCTTGTTTGTTTCACTTGTCTTCAATTGCTTTCGACCTGACCCTCCGTCTGGATCTCCCAGTGCTTATATTTACACGACATTCAGTCTTGCTGTGCTCCACCACTCTTTATTTTTCTCTCGTCGTCGTCCCCGTCGGTGCGCACCTGCATTCGTGTTCAGCTTGCAGCTGATTCGTCAGCTTATTCTTCAGCCTGCCTTCTCCCCCCTTTCCTTCGTCCCCAAGAGATTTCGAGGACCTACTGCTTTCCAGTCCCTGTCGTCTTCTGACAAGCAGAGCAATTCCTGCTCCGATGACGATCTCCTACGGCCTCGCTACACCCGAAATCCTGGGCGCGCTCGAGATCGGGGTGATGCTCAGTCTGGTCATGTTCGGAGTGATCTTACTTCAGGCGTACACCTACTTCACCCAGAACTGCAGCGCCGATTCAAGATGGCTTAAAATATTTGTGCGTTGCGTCTCCACCAATTCGTGACCTCCTGTAGACCAGCACAGGTCGGCGTAGTGATGTTTCTTGAATTGGGTCACTCGGTAGCGGCGTGCCATGCCCTCTACTACTTCACCATCAGCCTGGCGGGTATGCCCGAAGAGCTGAAAGCGACCAACAGCTACACTTTGTCGGTTACCCCCGTATTCGAAACCATCATCACCGCTTCGATCCAGGTAGCAGCCGTTCTTGCATCATTCCTGTCTACTACTGATGCGCGACGGCAGGGCTTCTTCGCATTCCGCATCTGGGTCCTGTCAGGCAGTCTCCGTGTCAGCATCGTCTGCTGGGTGATCGCCGCAATCCGGCTGGCCACGGGGCTCATGATGTCGACTTTTTCGCTTCTCGACGTCAGCCGCGAGCCGAACAGCACTTACATCGCTGACACGTACGGGGATTTCTTCACTGCCGCGTTGGTTATGGGTGTAGCGCTTGACGTGGTCATCACCATCGGGATGTGTGCCTGCATCAGGCGGCTATATACCACGCCGGTGGAGCTGCCCAATGGAAGCAAGCAGGTCGTCAGAGGGTTGATCTGTTGGGTAATCGGTATCATCATTCCAAATTTCTCTATTATGCGGATTACTGACCGGCTGGTGGTTCAGAAACGGGACTCATCACCTCGTTGACATCTTTGGCCGTGGTGATTACTGTGAGTACATTTGCCTGAAATGTAAAGAACGAGCAGCTCAGAAGCCGTAGTTCCAAACCATGAAACACAACTGTATGTTTATGTTATTTGTGCTCCCATACTTGGATAACGAAACTCGGCCAGGGGTTTGGCTGGGTCTTTACACCGTCCTCGCCAAATGTCAGTCCCAGCTCCGCTAAGTATCCACCGATCTGACATTCGACCAGTGTATTCCAACTCGCTCCTTGTCTCGCTGAACGCTCGGGCCCGTCATCGAGAATCCGTACGGACGGGAGGATCGAATCTTCCTCCGCCCCCAAAACTATTCCGAAAAGACGACGGAGATGAAATGGCGTTCTCAACTGCGAGCCACCCAAGGTCGAAGAATTGGGCCCCGGTCAGTTCGCAGTTTAATCAGTGCCTACTTTCTTATTGAATCTGCCATCTCACAGTCGCCGCCCGAGGCTGTATTCAGCTTCAAAGGGTATCAGAATGTGTGAACCAGGTCTCAGTCTGATTTCATGGTTCATCTCTCCGCCGCACGAACATGAGGTATCTATCCTTTTTTGCCGAAGCCGGAATCCGGTTATCCGACTACTAGGTACTGGACGAAATTTTGAATCGATAGAGCGTGGCTATGTTGCCTTTTCCGCACTGCCTTCCTCCGTTAAACTCATAAATTCGAAATCCATTCCGGTCAACATATACATGATTACAAGGGGGGATCCAGTGTCTATATGAGAACTTGCCGCATTTATGTGCGAATGGTGTCAAAGTCCGGGTTCGTCTGTGTCCCGGAACTTTGCGAGGTAGTGCGCGACAAGTCGGGGCGTAAGGAGCTGGGCCTACGCCGGTGAAGTATCTTTCCAACGAAATGGCGCAGTGATGATGAATCGCTTCTCTATAGATATTTCAGTATCTGACGGTACTGGAAAGTGATCAATCGACGTACGGATGATTCGCGCCTGGGCCTGGTAGGGATCTCTATCTCAGAGGATGGGACTCGAGACGAGTTTGTGGCACGAACAGGCGGGGAAGTCTAATGAGGGGGGAGACGGTGAGATTGATTTCAGAGGCCCTATGGAGTGATTGTCTGACGTAGCCGTAGTATGCCATCACAGAAGAGCAGGACATTGCAGACGCAAGAGGTTTGGTGGGAATGGGTGTGGGAGTTGAGCTCGAATTGTCGGGAAGGCTGCTGATGACGGAGACATACCAGCCAAAGTACGGCGCCCTAAAAACGATTGAATGAAGGTGTCGGTCCGCGCCCAGATGTGAGAGCCAGGAGAGCTCTGGACCGGCCGCAGAAGCGGCGGGATGATCCGGACGGTCTCCGTCCGGCTTCTTCGGATGGGAACCCACGATGATACCCACTCCGATGTTCGATGATCTCGGGTCCGGTGCCCTCGAAAGGATGTTGGCAGCGAGCGCAGAAACCAGCCCGAAGTGGTGGCGAAAGAAAATCCAACCCTGGTTTTCCCGGATTGATCCTAAAGCCTAATCACGGCCGTCACGCCTCGTCACATGTCAAACGTAGATCCTCTCTAGTGCGTCCTCCCCGCGTTTTCATGACGATTCTCAAGCAGTCAAAGTGGGGAGCAGAAGGAATGAGAAGAAATGAGAAGCAGATCTAGCTCATATCTCACTCATTCTGCACAACGACTGAGAGAGCAATCGAGAAATTTCATTCATCTGGGGGACCACTCCGGCTCCTTCTTGACCAAGATAATAGATTTCCGCTCATTTGAGAGCCATGCGCGAGGAGAGTCGGTGCGGGTTTTAGTCCGTGACAGCATGACTTCGAAATTCGAATCAAGTTTATGGCTGTGCAGCTGCCATCATAATCTGCGCACGTGCTCGTCACGATGACTCAGCGATCGTGAAGAGAGTTGATCGATGTGACGCTTTTCGAGCCACAGCTTCCTGCGCGCAGCCTCCTCAGCGACCAACAAAGGCTTATCGCAGGAAGAACATCCGAGCTGTGCTCTCTACTACACAATCGCGGCTCCACGGTGAGTCAATCCTGCAATGATAAAGATTGGAGGGAGCGTTGGGTCGTGCGCCTGCGCTGCTTTCGGTATCTTAATCCGCTTCTCAACGGACTAGCTGCATAAGCTCGTGTCTTTCGTGGATGTCTGATGTTACAGAGAAGTCGACCATCGATTCAATGACTGAAGTTGAGTCCACTGGACTTTGATGCTTGTCGTCTCATTCGATGGTGTGCCCTCAGGTTTTGTTCTGCCGACATCTATTGCCCTCGAACGAAGGCCAACCCTTGCGCTGAATTTTTTGCTAGTATGTATCGCAATGGATAAAATCCATCTGCTGCTGAGCGATTCCTCGGTCGTCACCGACTCTCGTGCACAGCTCGGGTTTCTCAGGACCGATTCTTGTCTTCAACTGGCCAACCGATACAAGCGCATGATGGCGTTCTTCTACTGGTTCAGATCATGTAACGAGTTCGGCATTGGATCGAGTCCGGATTATGGGTTACTCATCGGGCGGCTGGATTGGGTTCTCACTCTCCTACTGCCAGTTGACTATCTGCGTGGTCTTGAAATCCTACGTGGCGACTTGCATGGCGAGATATATATAATCGGCGTCTCCGTGCCACATTCTTCCGTTACTTTTCTCGACAACCGACGGCTGCAGCCAGCCTGCAGTCATGCCTGGGTCCGCGACGTCGTCCAAACCTGCCGCCGATTCATCCGTATTCTCGACGCGCCGCAGAGCGTTGATGGCCTGCACGAATTGCAGACACCGGAAAATCAAGGTGCGTCGCCGCCTGCTATCCGGGCTGCGCCTCTGACTTGCAGCATCTTTTCAATGACAGTGCATCGCACCCGCCGATGGAGACTTCGGCCCCTGCAAACGATGTGCGAAGCGCGATATGGCGTGCGAGTACGTTGCAGTCCCGGAGGAGATGGCGTATGAGCGCCACAGTGACTATGTCTCTCCGGATCCCACAAACTACGACTATACCGCACGAAATGTGCAGGCCGGTCGCTCGCGGGACCCACAACCGATCACCCTCCCCTCAGCCAGTCTCAACGAGTACATGCGCCCCAGCGCTGGTTTACAGCCGGATCAACGTGCCTCGGTCACTCTTGAGCCGCCGTATGCTGGTTCGTTCGTCGATTATTCTAGTCAATGGCCGCCAGGACGACAACGAGCGAGCGGGCTTCCTTCGGCAGGATATATGCACCCCGGTTACCCCTACCCTGGAGCTGGATCCGACCACCAGCGGCAATATGCACAGCTGCCCGATTACGTCGTGCGTGGTCAGAATCAACCCGTGTAAGGATTCCATTCCTGTTATGATTTTCTCGCGGCGCTGATTGGGCACAGGACGTGTGCCTGTCCACATAATGGACCGTGCTATTGCGGCGGAAACTACCATCAGTAATAACAGAGTTGTCATTCATTTGGTTGCTCGGCCACCAGGATCCACGGGTTTGGTTGAAGGTCCGTATTTACTGCAATCTGTTGTGTACTGTAATACCTGTAACAGATCAGAGTGACTCCAAGTCTATGGAAATGCTCTGCCTCAGCCCACAGCTTCTGTAGACTCACGAGGAATGAACATAGCGACCGGTCGAGTGTGTGATCTACACCACAGCCCCTGTCTAGACGATAGAAAGCGCGCCGGATCGGCAGGTCGAGTTGATGCATTGATGGGAGCTGAGATGCTTCTGACCCGACTTCGTCGAACACCGGAATGGCAATCATCGTAGGTTCCCCATCCGAAGAAGCCGGACAGAGACCGTCCGGATCAATCGGTGAGCTTCTTCGACCGTTCGAGATTACCTCTGGCTCGTGAACCTCGGCGTGCACCGAGTTCGTCCGTCGCTCGTTTATAAGGAATGCATCGTCGGGTCGAATATATCCACATCAAAACAGCCCCGGCTTCCTTTGCACACTCCAACCTAAGCCAAGCTCACCCACCATATACTCGAAATGTCGTGCTCATCAGTCATGTCCTACTACGGCTACGTGAGTCTGCTCTCCCATCGACCATCCAAGGCGGCACTCTAATTTTTCTCATGTTCATCAGCCTTCTCCCACATATGCTCACACACGCAGCACATACACAACCCCTACCCCAAGCCAGTCTGAACTCCCGGCCGCGGCCGACTCTCCCGTGCGTCTATCCCCTGTGCCGCTTCCTACAAATGCTAACATCCGCGCAGAAGAGAAGATCCTTGAGCGATGTCGTTCACAGCATTCTCCATCCACGCCGCGGATCGTCGCGCAGCAGTTCGCACTCGGTGGATTCCGCGTCGGACCGCTCATCGCGCTGAGAGGGAATATGCAAATAATTTTTCTCCGTCCTAGACTGTATTTCTACGCCCACTCATTGTAATCGTAATACCAAACAACACCGGCATGCTTCGCAAACCCGATGACGGGGACTATCTGAGATCCATTCGACTGAGCTGGAGACCCAAGCAGTAAGCACGACGAAACTGTGCGATGCTACATCACATCATAGCTTCCCAATTTTTATTGTGCAGATGGTAAAACAACGTGCCACCGCCGACTAGAGATGTCGGACCAACTGTATTCTGATGTGCCTTGCGGGAGAAGATCAGCCTGCGGACAATTGAGTCATTGATCTCTATCTCACAAGGACCTCAGAATCGCTTCATACGTGGAGTGGGTCATCGATCCACACTCCTAGTCTTGCAGTCATAGAATGCTCTGTTCGAGAGCTCGCGCTGTAGTCTACGCTTTGAGGCAGGAAGCTTCAGGGAGAAATTTCAACGAAATTCATCATGTATCAAAGGTGTATAAGCCTGGGCTAGACAACTTTCTGCTGCGATCAACAGCGCGGGACGTCAACGAAGGTCCGCAGTCTGGCCACGGCGAAAGTGTCTCTGCATAAAAGCGAGGTTTTCGTGGGCATTCTCCCAACATCCAACATGCTCGATCCTACCACATCGCCGCGAACGTACTGGGGAGCGCTCTACATCGGCCTCTCCGTCACCATCATGTGCGTCCTCGAGCAGCGGGACTCGACGACCTTAGACTGACTTTTCCAGCCCGACGCTCTTGTTATGTTTGATCACGATGCCCTTCCTGGGCGCGCTGGTCCGCTTCCGCGCCAACTACGTTCCAAAGTCAACCATCCGGCTGCTCACGGATGGCGAAGAAGCTGCTCCCAGTGAACGCTCGCCGTCGTATTTCGGCATGCTGTTCAGAGTCTATCGACTCGAGGGCTGGGCTGGGTTCTATAAGGGACTCCGTGAGTGTCGACGGGACAGAAGAGACGAGGGACTGACCTTTTATCGCTGCAGTGCCGTATCTCGCAGAGTCGTATTTGGCCATCCTGATCGTCACACCCATCGCACTGAGCCTCACAGTGAGGGACATCACCAACCCACCCGCCGGCAAGCTTCCCCTCGAAGTAGAGATGCGTGAGTAGTCCGGCATCGATCCGTAACATCCGTCTTACAAGGCCCGTCAGCACTGTACATCATCAGCAGCGCTCTGATGGTTGTGGTCCTCCCATTCGAGATCGTCCTAAATCGGTGAGCGAGTACGAAACGAACGGCTGAGTCATCCCACTGAGCTCCTCGGCTGTAGCGCAATAACCACCACGGCCAAGCTACCGTGGTCGCTCGCCCCCAGGCCCGCCCTCAAGACGCTCCTCTCCGCATCCGAATACGCCAACCCGCTCAAGCTGTACCTCACACCGGGCCTCGTCCTCGCCGAGGTCATCCGCGGCGCCCTCACGCCCCTCATCATCTTCGCCCAGCGCCACATCGAGCGCGCGGCCGCGTCGCGCGGCCTCGCGCCGCTCGGGGAAGCCGCGCTCCTCGTCGGCCTGGGCCTCGTGTTCGTCGCGCTGCAGACGCCCGTCTCCGTCATGCACGCGCGCCTGACGCTGCAGCGGCGCGGAGCCCCGGCGGGCGAGTCCGAGCTCGCGTTCGAGCCCGGCGTCGGGGAGGCGGTCGTGATGGGCGAGCGGAGCGGCGCGCAGGACGGTGTGGCGCCGTACACGTCTTTCGTCGACTGCGCGCGCAAGATGAGGAGGGAGGAGGGGCTCGGGGTCTTTGCGCGAGGGTGGTGGATCGTGGCGCTGCAGGCCGCTACCGTGTTGTTGTCCGCGCTGGTGACGCGCTGGCTCTAATGTGTCGCGGTGCCATGCGCACGCGGCCTGGCGGAGTGTCGGTATCGACTATAGCCCAGATGATGTGATTTCAGATTGATGACTGTATCCCCTACTCACCCTTGAATGTATAATGTTGAGCAAGACGGCGAGCGAAGGATTCCGCAAGACGGTCTGGGGATCATTTTCACGCAATCGCGTCACGTTTTTAAATCGGTTTGTCACGATAAGAGGAATGTGTGCAGTCGGCGCTCCGAGGAACACTCAGTATTGGGCTGATCTTACTGGAGAATCTAACTGCGGGCCAAATCATTGAACATTCGCACTCAATAGCGACTACGTTCAGGTCGGTATGAGCACAATCTTCAAATCGTGTTCGTTCTGGTCCCATATTTGGCTCGTTTTTGCTAATCTGATGCACAAAAGATAGATCAATGTGTCGACATCTGTGACTTGATGTCGTGACCTTGCCTCGTTGACGCCAGGTTTTCTTCCCAGCTACGACGCTTCGCCTACAGAGAGCACTGGCCCTAGCTCTCGTCAGGAGCTCTAAGAGCCGCACACAATCTTATGTCAGTCCTCCTGCTCATTCAACGACTTTTCATCCCATTATCAACCTGAACGAAAACGGATGATAGGCCGCTCCCGATGCGAATGATAAGATAGACTCTTTGCTGTCAATGGAAGATGATCCCTCGAATGGTTCCATCTCGCAGTGTCACCTCAATCGGTGAGTGCGGAGGAGATGAGCCTGATAGAGCGCTGGGTTCTCATTTGAAACTCGACCAGTCTTTGCATCTAGTACGACTTTCGGGGACGACTGGACGACTTTTCCAGATCAACAGCCGATCTGACCTCTTTGAGGGCTTCCGCGAGCTACCTTTCCACATTATTCCTGCGCTCAGGTTTGTGTAAGACTCGAAGAAGACACGGCATTCATCTCTGTCTCACGGTCTGTCCTCTTTCGGGGAGCAGTTTCGCACACTCAGCTGACGCCGCCAAGGTTTCTGGCTGTCCAAATGCCTCAGAATAACGCTATTCACGACGCATGGAGGATGCAATGTGCCATGATAAGCACGATGGCGCGAGCGGTACGCATCCCCGGCGCACCGCTTCATCATCATCATTCACTTTCACTCGTGTCTTGTCAGCAGGCGAGAAACGATATAAAAGCTCGAGCGGATGCATTGGCTCACCAGAGATCCACGCTCTGTCCCTCCAATCCCTCGAGACTTGTCCAAGATGAAGTTCGGTGCCCTCTTTGCGTTCACCCTCGCTGCGGTCGTCATGGCCAACCCAGTCGTGAGTGCTTACTGCTAGCTGCCGGTGTACTCGATTTCTTACTCCTTCCTCCTTCCACAGCCTCTGGTAAGTTTCATCGGTGACTTCAAGGGGTATGCGAAGAAATTCATCATGCCAGGTCGAGTCGGACAACAACTCGTGGAAGATCGGTCGTGCGGCGCCGACCCTTGAGGTGCGCTGCTCTAATCAATCCCAGACTCATTGGCTGATTTTATCCGTATAGCCTGTACGTGAATCGCAGCCCAGTGAATGAGGACCTGAAGCTGACTTGCGCAGCTCGAATCGGAGAACAAGAGCTGGCACATCAACAAGGTTCAGGCTGTCGCCACTCCAGTTGCGGTACGTGCGCCGATGACTTCCCAAGATCGAGGCTGACGCAGCTGATGTGACATAGCGCGCGCCGGAGCCGCTGATCACCCCCAACGCTCTCGACGCCAATAATGATCACTGGACGATTGGAAAAGCCCGTGCTTTGCCCACTGAGGACCTCGAGTCGGACAACACCTCGTGGAAGATCAACCGCGCAGCCCCGACCCTCGAAGTGCGTTTTTCTCCTCCTTTCTGCCGCGTGCACTCACCAAGCCGCTCTCTCGACAGCCTGTGTGTTTACAGTCCCGCGATCTTTCACTATGCGTACTGACGGCCAAATCCAGCTCGAATCGGAGAACAAGAGCTGGCACATCAACAAGGTTCAGGCTGTCGCGACTCCAGTTGCGGTACGTGCCGCCGATGACTTGCCAAGATCGAGGCTGACGCAACTTTTGTGACACAGCGCGCGCCGGAGCCGTTGATCACCGCCAACGAGCTCGACACCAACAATGATCACTGGACGATCGGACAAGCTCGTGCTCTTCCCACTGAGGACCTCGAGTCGGACAACAATTCGTGGAAGATCAACCGCGCGGCGCCGACCCTCGAAGTGGGTTTCTTTCTTTGTTTTTGCGGCAGTGCACTGATATAGACCGTTTTCTCAACAGGCTGTGGGTTTACTTGCCCCTGCATTCACTGATGCTTGCTGACAACCAAATCCAGCTCGAATCCGACAACTCCAGCTGGCATATCGGAAAGAACCGCGCTGTCGAGACCCCCGTTGCGGTTCGTATTCGATTCCACACTGAAATGCGCGAAGTCGCTCACAGCTCAATTCATTCAGCGTGCGCCGGAGCCGGCCATCACTCCCAACGCTCTCGATAGCAGCAACGATCACTGGACGATCGGGAAGGCCCGCGCATTGCCCACGCAGCCGCTCGAGTCGACGAACGACAAGTGGGTGATCGGCCGTGCGGTACGTGATAATCGCCCTTGCCCGAGCGATCTCTCCGCTTGATACGGTATTTTGGTTACCCAGGAAGTTGAATCGGATAACACTTCGTGGAAGATCAACCGTGCGGTAGCTACTCCCGTGGCGCGTGAGGTGAGCTGTTGATCTGTGACCTGCATTTGCGATATCTAACGGCCCCTTCCAGCCCCTTGTTCGTCTATTGATATAGTCCCGTATCTTGTATACTGATGCGAACTATCAGGTGGACTCGGACAACACCTCCTGGAAAATCAACCGGGCCGCTCCCACGATTGAGGTACGTTTTTGCCTCACCCTTAGCTCTTTCATACTGATTAGAGTCGTATTTTCAGCCTGTTAGTTTATCTCTAAGTCGACCAAGTCGATATATTGACATCATCATAGCTCGAATCTGATAACACCAGCTGGCACATCGGAAAGAACCTCGCTGTCGAGACTCCCGTCGCGGTGGGTTCTTGGTCTATCTATTCAGTTTTCCTTTTTTTGCTCAACATGACTTCTTCGTAGCGCGCCGAAGCCGGTCTGGACACCAACAACGACCATTGGACGATCGGCCAGAACCGCCGGGCCGTGCCGACCCAGGGCGTTGAGCCGAGCAACGACCACTGGACCATTGGCCGCCGCGAGGAGGAGGCTCGCACGCTTGCTGTGTAGTCCAGGTGTATTTGGAATAAGCAATGTTTGTACGCATGATCATGATCTCAATATATTGTCCGGGCTTTGGCCTCGGTGATTGCTTTCCTGGGTCTGTTGCGCGGTGAGTCGGGCAGGCATAGCACACATTTGGATAGAGAGTCGAAAGATGGGTTTGAACCACGAAGTCCGCTGCGTCGAGCGGTGCGCCGCGGTCGGGTGCGGTCATCTTGAGGGGCGAGAACCGCGCGGGCGCCAGGTCGGGTGAGCCATTGACATCGGCGGCCGAAAAGTCAAACTTCAACTGCCGCTGATCCACTGATCAACGCTCATCATTCGATCATCACTCAATCATCATTTGAGGGGGCTTACCTCCGACAACGTGCGTGTGAGTGAGCAAAACAGGGGGATCACTGAGGAGAAGGGATTTGTGTTACCGCTGGTCCAAGCACCCTATTCATTATGTACGAAAGATCAATTTGGGATACAGCATCGCAGTGCGCAGTTTGATCAGCTGATCGAGTGCGCATCAGAAGCAACGAGTCAGAGGCGATGTGAACTCCCACCTTTCGTATGCTGTTCATGCGTCACTACGCTGGTGACGCAGATAAATTGGAGTATCCACCCGGTGCCGTCTCTGATCGTTGACGCGCCAGCCCAGAAAACGAGTCCTGTTGGTCGAGCCGATCACTGCAACCGAGTGAAACGCATGATGGGCTCACTTCGTCGAAATATACATACAGCTGGATTCCACAGGCACGAAGATATCTCCAGTCCCATCCATGAGCCCGAGGACCGCCCCCGAATCGTCAAAGACAAAGAGAAAAAAGCGCAGTGAAAGCCAGAGAGTTTACATCGCGTGTCGGAATTGCCGGAAACGGAAAGTGAAGGTGGGTTGATCCGATTTCGTCTGCGTCAATTGGGGATGTAACGCGGAGATAGTGCCTATCGAGAGACATGGATTACTCGCCATGTCGACGGTGTGTGCTCAAGGGTCTGGTATGCGAGTATGTCACGGTAGAGGAGGAGACCGGTCACGCGCCGCAGTCTTCAATGCAGTTCCCAGTGGCTGGTCCATCGAGCCTCGAGCGCACATACACCGCCAGCCAAAGGATGGATCATATCGCCAATGCGTCAGCAAGTGCCGTATATCCGGGATCGTGGGATCGGGAATCCTGGACGCAGACAGCACCGAACGAACCAGTACCGGACCTCGACATCGTTCATCGGGGTTCGATGCGAGAAATGCCACGTCCCCCATCCAATCCTTGGGGAGGACAGTACTCGTCTCTTGCAGGGCCTGCTTCCGGATCGACGAGTAGGCCACCACCGCAGTGAGTATCAATCAGTGTAAGAGAGACTGCGAGGGCTGATCCGGGGGGTTCTGCAGTTCGGAAGGGTGTGGATGGCCACTTATGCCATGCATGTGTTTCAACACAAATGTAGGGTCCTGAGATGGCGAAGCTAGGATTTCACAGAGCCTATGGATAATTAGAGGACTTGGATTTGTTTTGGAGATGGATTGTCTACCTGTTGGACCCAGATTTACACTATCTACTTGCTCAACAGGGGACCCAGATACTTCTTTCATCAGAAGGATTATAACCTTGATGTGCCTAGTTGTCGTGCTCACTCCCCACTTGGCGATCTGCTCTTTGAAGAAGGAGAGGTAAGTTGCATAGGCCCAGCGATTTCATGATTCCAGGTGAAATGAGAGAAGCAGGCATACACGTTAGCTCTCCGACTCGCGAATTCTAGCATATACCTTCCAGCGGATGCCCGGGCTCTCCAACGTGACACTGTTCCGGCGGCTTCCTTTGGTGAACCTATTCCAGAAGCCGCGGCGAGGCTCCGATGCCATATGCAGTGATGAGTCTGAGGAGCAAGATGAGCCAGTGATCTCGGGTACAGCGAAGACAAAAGGTGCTGGTGCGGAAGGCGGATGTGGAAAGCGTGGTCGTTGAAGAAATAGTGGCGCTCCTTCCCATCCCGAATCAGCAACTCCTTCTGCTTCCGGCTGGCCTCCGGCGTCGCAAGTGCACTAAGGTCTCCAGGGCGGATCGTTTCCCTCGATGTCAACATTGGCACTTTTACGGGGCGTTGAGGAAATGGAAACAAGTTCGTACTAGTAAAGACTGCAGGGAATGAGGCGATTCTGCTGCCCGTCACAACGCTGCAGCTCGTCCATGCCACGACACGTCCGCCATGGAATAGAGATCTCCGGGGAAAGATGGGATATCAAGGAAAGTATAAACGTAGGCCAGGCCGCGAATGAAGCGAACGTAGGTATCTGCCATTCACGTGGTTGAAGTTTTCGCTGCCTGCATGTTTGTCTCCCCACCGTGCATCCAAGATAAAGATCACTCACATCCCGAAGCTTAGCCATGCCCTGATCGAGGATGACACTGGGTCTTGGGTCGCTTGTACCGTTTACCCGACTGATTCCATGCAGCACTTACCTCCAATGCATGAGTCACCGATGCTCACATGAGATGGCTGGACGCGACCCTCCCCGCCTTGTGGCGATGGGAGTACAATGAGATGCGGCTTTAGCGGTAGTATGCGGTGATTGAAGGATAAATCGCCTCCGCAGAAATGCGACGCGCGTTTATCCGTCTCACTGCCGTGGTCTGACTTCCCTGCAGAATATTGCTGCGACCGTTCATCATTGACCCCGTCGTAAAATATCCTGCCGAAGATCGGGTGAAATAAAGAGTTGAGGTCAATAAAAACTCTTACCGGACTTCATTGCTTGACTTCCCTTTGTTACGCGAGCACTGTCTTTTGTCTACACCTGAGCAATCTATCCAGCGCTTGGAGAAACCTACATATATCTGAATCATATAATCTACTGTGTGTCATGGACGGAAACTGACCAGCGGCTAGGAAAATCAAGGAACTCGAAAATCCTCGCTATGTCGTGGCGGTATGATCCGAACTCGGAACAGGCCGGCGTCTGCACAATTGAATCAGCCCCGATCACTCAGACCGCTTCAAGTTGGCAGAGTCGGGGTCCCACTGAAGTTTTACAATGTTCCCTGGAATAATTAACGATGAAAAAACCTTGTTCGACCCATCGATTCTTTCCCAATAGAATTCTGTGAATCATGGCATCGAGCCTATTCTTTTCATCATCCTGTGATTTTGCTTGTAAAACCAGCGAGATCCCGCGCGAGAATTAACGATACATGATCCATGTGATAGACCAATCCCCGCATCACATTCGTTGATTTTGGGCAACAAACGTCTCTCAGATTCTGAGCGCCTGAGCAGCTAAAGTTCGTGTCAGGGCAATGGTAGTCACGGCTGCGTCCACGGATCCTCCCTTGCGTCTTCCATTGTACTAACCTGCGTTGAAAACGGTGTTTCTTCTAATCGTTTTCCAGATCAACGATGTGGAGCACTTTTAGTGACAAAGGAATGTTGTAACAGCACTCTTCCGCGGCACCTTAATCGAACCACACTGAGACTACCGCCGGAGTCCCGATAGGCAAGCTCCACGGGGGTCCTACGGCTAATTCTGGATGCATCTTCATCAACATGGATGACTCAGGAAGTGACAGCCGAGTTCGATTTCACCAGCAAGCTTGACTCAGGAACTTCTGTCGGCTGAGTTGGACGAAAGGTTCCGGGACTGTGAGGGACACGCCGCGAAAGTGTTATCCCTCATATGCACAATGCGGAGGCCAGATAGTCTTGGGAGCAGACCCAGCTGCGCTAGATTTGTTGCAGATGAGAGCAGCACCAGAACAAGCAGGCTGTCTACGACGACGATACCGAGAATACATCTTCAACGTTACCTCCTGTGTGTTTAGAAATACTCCCGTCACAACGTCCAGTGTGTCATTCACGCTCCATTTTTAGTCCATCATTGAGCTGCCGCGATTCACTTGGTGTATACGAGTACCCTGATGCCGAGGCGGGCCGTTTATGGGGGTGACTAACCATAGACCACTCATTCTAAGCGCTGAAAATATAAAATGTTGCATGCAGTCTGCCTGGAAGCCATTCAACATCCCTACGCAGACCATGCCCACCCGACACATTCTTACTATTCTGAGTCCCGCTTGGGGCCATGTGCTGCCTTACATCCATCTCACGACCAAATTGTTGGCCTCGGATCCGGAGCTGGTAATCACTATCGTCGAGCACAATGTCCTTGGTCGATGCATTTCATTTGTCTCGTTCGATTTCATATTCTAAATGTGCGTAGTGGCAAAGATGCTTAAAGAGTTCAGTCTATGCTCGTATGACACTAGCAGGTTGAAGATCGAGGGTGTAGGGGACAAGGAGTGAGTCTCCAGACATCTCTGAGTCAATTTTATTCATCGAGAGCAGCCTCCCAACCTCGCTGGCAACCGTTGAGCAGAGCATGAAAGAGCTCACGGCTGGATGGCTTGATCTCCTTGCGAAGGCAGTCTCCGGTCAAACCACTTGGCCTAAGCCTCACACACTGCATGTATGTGATCCATGGAGGCCCAATGGAGAACTCAACATTCGAAACAGATGGATTTCAACGGAGGAGGCCTCGTCGTCAAGGAGTCGATGTCTTTGTTGGGACCGGACGGAAAGATTCTGCTCTGGTGCTCCACCGGCGTGGCGGCGTGCATGATTCACTTCAGCGAATTCAACCACGCCAAGACCGCGCGCGAGATATACGCAGACGAAAATAAACGAGCAGGAAGGTCACTGGACGACATCATTGGCGACGTGAGCACCCTTTTCCCTGCCATTTCAGACACTGTCAACATTGGCTTCATCAGGTCTGCTGCGCGAGCAATGGAAGCGACAAACTCGATGGCCGAATCCTCGAGATTGCCGGAGGTATCAAGATATATGATCACGAGCACATGGCGCAGGGTGCTGGTTCACCACGCGCCTGGGCGGCTCTTCTGACAGCCGGGCAAGAACTGGCTCAGCTGGCTGATGGCTTCTTCTGTCCTACCAGTGGCTCTTTGGAGTCCGCTGCAGCCCCCCACGCTCGCGCGTATTACAAGCAGCGCGGCAAGGAACTGTTCCTTGTTGGTCCTCAGATGCGCGATGATGAGTGGGAGGCGCCGTCAGCAGGGCCGGGCCCCAGTGATGAGAGATTGAAAACGTTCCTGGGTGAGGCGCTCAAGAATTATGGGCCAAAATCGGTCCTCTATATCTCTTTCGGGTGCGTGAAAGTGCTGCTCATCTTATTTCGGAATTCTCAGATCAGATTCAGTTCGATGTTCTTCCCCGTGGAGACACCTCACCTGGTTGAGGTGATGATTGAGGTTCTGCTGAGCCTCGAGAGTGTGGTCCCCTTCGTCTTTGTTGTGGCTGGAGTCATGGCTTCCTTGCCGAATACGACGGTCGATCGCATCCACGCCAGTGGCAGAGGAATCGTATGCACCGATTGGGTAGATCAGAAAGCTATCCTGAAGAGTGGGACAGTCGGCTGGTTTCTCACTCATGGCGGTTACAAGTCAGTTCCAACTATGCCATCCTGATTTCTATGTTGCTGATCCATCTGCAGCTCGTTAATCGAGGCCCTGAGTCAAGGCATTCCACTTATTTTCTGGCCAATTGGAGCAGAACAAGCTCTTAACGCCGCGATGTTTTCAACGGGCCCCCGGGCTATCGGAATCGAGCTTTTCCAGGTACTCGCCATCGACCCTACTTGATTAGCGATGCCCATTGATTCGTGATGCGCAGATTCGAACCGGAACCCAACTGGGCCCTTCCCTCCGCCCGGAGGCACCGAAGATTACAGGAACGGCCGAGGACGCAAAGACTGAGTTCCAGCACGTTTTCAAGGACATCAAAAGAACCCGTGGGGAAACTTTAAGACAGAATGCTATTCATATCGGAGACTTGTGGCGGGAGGAGAGACTCGACGGGGAACCTGCGCAGGAAATCGCCAGGCTTGCTAGATTTTGAGAACTGGCCTTGCCACTATGACGAAATGAGATTTCAAGCAAGGAATGAAAATTGTTTGGCGAGAGCTATCCCCTCCTGGTCTTCGTACTGGGTGTTAAAGCACTTGGTGTTGGTGTAGTGGAGGCTCGGACTGCAGGTCCGAAACCCCGGGCTCCCGCACTGTCTGTAGGGAAAATTGTCGAATTGCTAATGTATTTGACCCCCTAAGAAAGTTGTCTCGCGCAGACCTTGCGTTCAAATGCTTCAGCCATGGTTCAGCCTCGAATCAGTGGTTTGCTAGTAGAGTGCAAGTGCGAACAAAAGCTGCTTATTGTGGAGCAAGCCGCAGATCGCTGCGTCATGTCAGCGGACCATTCTGTCACATCACGCACAGGTCACATGGCTCTGTCATGCTGCCGCGTCCACCGAGTCGCACCGTCTTTGAAACTGTTCTTGCCCATGCAACATGTGCCCATGGCTCGGCCAGGACGTTCATTCTCAGACACACTCGCTGGGATCATATCCAAGAATACCTGCCGTATCCTCGAACTTTTCATGGGGGTTTGTGCCAAGAGTGTTATTCCAGCTCATGATAGACACTCCGTCCCGCTGCGTCAATCGTCCCACACCTCCCGGCAAATATATGCCAGAGCACGATCTGATGCCTCATCGATTGAGCTTCTATCTCAGCCGTTTCGATAATTCTTTCAGACACGGGTATGGCGCAATTTGACGCAGGGATGGTGGATTGGAAAAGGTATGCCTATGTTCTGGAGTTACTCAGGATATGTCATACTGGTATCCTTATAGCTTCTGACCGCTCTTCCACCTTCACGTCCATTCTCATGTCGCCCTCACCATCCCTCGCCAAAGACGGATCCGTCGTGGCTAAGCCAGAAGGCACAGCACTATCGGACACCGAGAACACGGACGAGTCCGCTCCGCACTACGCCAAGGACCTCGAATACACGCGGGAGGAGGAGTCCGCTGTCGTGCGTGTCCTCGACACGCGCCTATTCCCCGTGATCCTGCTCACGACGTTCGTGCTCAACATGGACCGCACGAACAACTCGAACGCGATCTCCGATAACCTACCGCAGGATCTGGGGTTCACGATTAACACGGTCAATACCGCTACAGCACTGTACTCTGTCGCGTTCTCACTCGCCTCTTTGTACGTCGCACTCCTCGCTTGCGCGAAATATGCGTGTGGCTAATGGGTTAGGTAGCTCGGGTGCGGTCATGGCGAAGATTATGGGCCCTTCTCGATGTACGTAGCCTCTCTCTCTTGGTCTCTACCTACCTGACGGGCCTCAGGGATCCCCATTCTCATGTTCGCCTGGGGTTTGGTCACTCTTGCGCACGCGTTGATCAAAGACGCGGGCGGATACATCACAGTCCGCATTTGTGCGTTCCTCCACCATCTTCGATCGCACCGTAGCCGCTGCTTATGCCCACCAGTCATAGGAATCACCGAAGGAGGCGTTATTCCCGCGATGCTCATCTACCTGGGCAGCTTCTACAAGGGTGCTGAGTTGACGACACGCTTGGCCTGGTTCTGGGGAATCCAGGTGCTTTGTCCAGTTTCGCCTGTTCTAGCCCTGTACTCACTTCACTCCCATTAGTCTATCGCAAGCGCTGTTAGCGGGCTTATGGCTAGCGGTCTGCTGCAGCTGGATGGGCGAAACGGGCTCCAGGGTTGGAAGTGGCTGTTCATAGTGGTGCGTGGTCTTGCGTCTATCGTACGACGCGACAGCTGATCTTTCGCAGGACGGGATCATCACACTGATCGTTTCAGTCTTCATCTGGTTCTATCTTCCCCGGAACGTAGCTTCGACTAAGGGCGGACTGCGGGGCTTGAAAGCCTGGCTGACAGCACGCCAGACACAGATCGCGGTGACCCGTGTCATCCGGGACGACATTTCGAAGCGGGCATACGAGTGCGTTGTTCTGATTCCCGGCTATCTGATACCCACTCGGTATTCTCAGGAAACGTGTGACACGAGCCGATTTCAAGGCTGCTGCGGCTGATCTTGGCCTCTGGATCCACTTGCTTATCACTGCAGTTGCACTGACGCCCACTAGTCCTCTCCAGACATGTGCGTTCTCTGTATGCTTGGCTGCTCTTGGTCTTGATACGTGCCCCACAGACCTACCGACGGTGATCAAGACCTTCCATTTCAACGTCTTTGTTTCGAATGCCCTCACTGCCCCACCCTACGTCTTGCAGTGCATCTTCAGCATCACCCTCATCCGGCACTCGGAGACTGTCGGGGAGCGAGGATGGCATGGGGCTTTCGGATGTGTGTGACGTTCTGATCTGCACCGCCGAAGTAGACACTGAGTCGAACCTAAGCTGCATGGCAGTTGGTGGGATGGATCATTTTGCGTGCTATGCCAGATGGGGCGTCGCGGGGCGTCAAGTAAATGGTCTTCTCGCGTGACGGTTGATTGGAATCTAAGCCCATGTACAGGTACTTCGCTGCTGTCATTCTTGCATCATGGCCATACAACCACCCGCTCAATATCGGCTGGATGTCGGAGAACACGGCGAGCATTGGCAAACGTACTGTTGCGTCCGGGGCGGTGATCTTTGCGGGCAACATCTACGGAGTTTGTGAGTGACTGCCGGGGTCTTGGGCGTTTGGGTGCAAATCTAATGCACGACCATGCCAGGGGCGTCGCAGATCTATCAGGCCAAGGACGCACCGTGTACGGCCTGTACCCCTTTCCTCTCACATTGAACTGAACTCGCCGTCAGCGTTCAAGACAGGTAACTCCATCAACATCGCCTTCGCGGCGTTTGCTACTTTCCTCTGGTGTGTCCTTCACTCCCGCTCACATCGGTCTCTTGACACGCGAGCTAGGATCGCGCAGAAGTACTACTACCGGTACCTCAATCGCAGACACGAAGAGGACTACGCAGCATTGAGTCCCGAGCAGAGAGAAGAGGAGGACAGGCTGGCTCTTGCAAAGGGCAATACGAGTCTGACGTACAGGTACACGACATAAGGTTTGTAGCACATCGCAGAAAGAGTGTACGATTGCGAAGGCGGAGGACATGCACGTGATCTTCAGCGTTCCAGGCTACTCTGAAGCCCCGGAGGGTTCCAGTCTTGCCATTTTGGTGACATCCTTTCCTGCATTAACTTTCACTCCCTCTCTGCAGCCGAAATTCATCGAGAGAGTGATTGTAATACCTCTTTCCATTTCTTTGTGGGAGCGGAGAGTTGGCACGTGACCACACTTTCAAAGACGTAGGCACCTCACCGCTGAGTCTTATCAGCTTGCAGTCGATGCCATTCTCGACGGGTTTGGGGGCATCCACTTCTGTGTTTCTTGTGGATCCGCTTTGAATGTCTGAGGAACTCACTCAGATCATCGTTCTTGCCCACCGCCCTGGTACTCAAAGCAGAACACAGTCTATTAGGGTTTCCGCACGAGACATGCCAGAGCTACGGGTGCTCGACATCCCACGGCGAACTCCTCGACACCTAAGAATCGATGAGCCAGGTGCTAGGGAAGCAAATACGCTCGCACACACCAGCACTCACACTCCTCAGCCGCAGTTCTTGCGCGCGGCGACTGCGAGCTCCCTCGCGCTCGTCGGCGTGCAAGTCTCCCGCGCAGCCATCTCAGCGGGCGTGGCGGGCAGCGCAGTGGCGATGCTCGTGTATAGCGACAGGATACTGAGAAAGAGCGCAATGAGTACGGAATCGGTTTTCATCTTGGGTGTGCCGGCGGATGGCGTGTCGGACAGCTTTTATGAGTGTGGTGAGGAACCCGATTCGGATGATACTGGCTGAGGGATGACAGCGGACAGAGGTTCTTATCAGCCCCTGTACCCACCTCGCCTATGTGCTCGTGGCTTTCTCGAACCCATTCACTGGCCCCGAAACAGTTCGATTACGACTCTGGCGGAGAGCTCAAAGAGCCAAGGCCCTCGTTCGGCAAGGGGAGGAAGGATGGCAGCGGTTGAGAGGAAACGCATATTGCACATTTCGAGAGAGTCCAACATAGTCAGGCTGGATCCCCTAGCCTGCTCGATTCAAGTGCAAGAAGCGTTTCGATTTAGTCCTAGGTGTGCCAGAGACGACTTGTACACACCAAGCAAACACAGAGCTAGGGAGGTTATGGCAAGGAAAGGCAATTCAAGTGCGGTTAGCCAATACGGATGACTCGACCGGCAAAATGCTCAAGGGCTGAAGATCTGCTTACTCAGCGTATATGCAGGCCATCAGAAATGCACTCGGTCCTCTCTCAGTCCTCCGCACTTCGACGCTCCTTCTTCCCCGTCACCGTAATGCAAGGACACATACTCTCACTCATGTTACACTCCTGGCCGACTGGCTCGACTATCTCGACCGCAACCACGTTTGAGCTATCGACACCGCACAATCTCGGCATTCGCTGATGGAACGGGCGCCGCGATGTGGTGAAGGAAGGCCTTGGAACGTTCGTGGGTCATCTGGTACGGGTATCCACGCACCCTGACACGCCAGCCATGCTCTTGAAGCTACGATATGGATCCTCCAGCGAGCTTCTCTCCGGCCCCAGCACATGGGCCTGACCTGGTTTAAAAATAGAGTGCGCCAGGAGCGTATGTCTGGGTGTTTCTATCTTCAGGCTCGCAGTTGCTCGACATCTGCCGGATACGGGAGCGATACGGGTGTGGCTGACGGAGTCCTGTCCACCAGATGCCGGCCCACATGCGACCTATCTCTGCTGGGGCCGTGTTGAGTACAAAAGGAGGATCCCGGCTGTTCTGGGGGCAACTGACACGCGGATATGCACTCCTCGATCAGCTTGGCAATCCTTGGCCTCAGCGCGGCTGCCCCGGCTTTCGTACGCGTCATCCCGTTGGGGCTTGGGTCGAGTTGACTTGTTTTGTAGGGCTGGGGTGTCGTTGGTCACGCTACGATTGCGTACATCGCGCAAGACTTTGTCAAGAGCAGCACCGCGAAATGGGCTCAGGGTGCGTATGTCGGCTGCACTCGCGAGGCAATCCTTGACACGGCCGCAACAGGGATTCTCGGCGACACGTCCACCTCGTACCTGGCCAACATCGCCTCGTGGGCGGACGACTACCGTGCCACGACTGCGGGAAAGTTCTGTAGGTGTCCGATTCATGGAAGGTACGAGAGACGCTCAACCAGAATGAAGCTGCCCCGTACCACTTCATCGACGCGCAGGACAGCCCGCCGAAGACCTGCGACGTGAGCTACACACGCGACTGCACCACCGGCGGCTGCTCCATCTCTGGTACGCCCTCACGGCATGTCTGGAAGAGGGATCGAGACTGATTCGTCGCAGCGATCTCCAACTACACCTCCGTATGCACTAGGCTCTATCACGTGCCCATCGCGACTGACGTTCTCTCCCCGCAAGCGCGTGCAAGATGGGCGGTTGAGCGCGACCAACGTGAACCAGGCGCTCATGTTTCTGGTCCACTTCCTCGGGGACATCACGCAGCCCCTGCACGACGAGGCGCTCGACGTTGGCGGAAACACGATCAAAGTCACTTTCAACGGTTTCACGGACGACAACCTTCATGCTGACTGGGACACGTGCGTAGTCCACACAGCGGCTGGCTCTCCCTCCTCGACTACGGCTGACCCGCATTGGCAGATACATCCCGGAGAAGTACATCGGCGGCTCGACGATCTCCTACTCGCGCACGTGGGCGACGACGCTCACGGCGTCCATCAAGAGCGGGGCCTACGCTTCGCAGGCTGCCAGCTGGATCAAGGGCGACAGCATCGACGATGCCGTGGCTTCTGCGACTGCGTGGGCCACCGACGCGAACAAGTTCGTCTGCTCCGTCGTCATGCCCAACGGCGTCGCCGCGCTCCAGAAGGGCGATCTCTACCGTATGTGTTGTGTTTTGTTGCCGGGCATTTGCGGGAACTGACTGGTCGCTGTGCAGCCACGTACTATAACTCCGTGCTGCCCACCATCGAGCTGCAGTTCGCCAAGGGCGGCTACCGGCTCGCCAACTGGCTCGACCAGATTGCGGATGTGCAGCTCGGCATCACCCGCCGCAACGATCTGTCTGAGCCCCGTGTGGCTTCCGAGAGGTATGCATTGAGCCGGTGCTTGCGTCGATGTGTGCCGTGCGCTGACGTGTCCTACAGCCAGCAGCGTGATCTGATGCTCGATCTCGCGATGATGAGCCCGCCCACCGCCATCCGCGCCGCCTTCGGTAACGGATGCGGAGGTCACGCTCACTAGATCAATAGTCTTGTCTTGCTGTTTCTCCATCCGCCAAGTTGCAGAAAGGCATTGTCGCTCAAATGAATTACGTTTTCGGTTGATTTACGAGTCGTCGTGTTGAGTTGAATCGGAGCGCGAAAAAGTTGAGCCTTGCTGAAACGATGGACGGCGGGAAATGAGGGCAGTTGGACTTTTGACCGTCGACGAATTGAAGATCGATGTGAGGATGGATGAAGCCAACGACACTTGGCGTTTAAATACGATGAGAACATGTGTTGCCACCTGGCAAGTGGGTTTATTCCGGTTTGGTAACTCGTTCTGAGCGCTGAGCAGTCAACGACGAGTGTCTCGATTGTTGATATCGACTCGAGGACTTGCATTTGAAGCGTATTTCTATTACCAACTCAGCTCGAGATGGCTTCATTACTTTGACCTGTAATGCGCAGCTAGCCCGAGGGCCAAGAGCCCGAACACGGGAACGGCGAGATCTCCGGCAACACGCCAGAGGGCGGCTCGGGCAGTCGCAGTGACCCGCTGATTGAACACCGCACTGTCGTTCGAGTGCGGGTACGCTCCGTCCGGGATGGGCACACCGAGGAACGGGCACAACGATTCCCACCCGTCCTTGACGTCAAACTCGAGTAGCCTGTCCTTGGGCACCAACGTGCGCACGTGATCGTAGTGCGCAACGAAGCGGGCCTGTGCGCCTTCGGGCGCGACTCCCGGCCCGCAGAGCTGCATGATCATCTGTTTCGACATCCCGCCGAGATGCCGCACGCCGGAATAGTCGAGCATCATGGCGAGGGCGAAGGTGCGGTTCTGCGGCACGCTTGCAACCGTTGCGCGGAACGATGTCCACCACTTGGCCGGATCGCGCAGCGTGAGGATGACTTTCGCGTCCGGATAGGCGGCGACCAGGTCCTCGGCGTACATCATTGGAGGGGCGTCGGTGGCCGCCTTTCCAGTGTCCCATTCCATGAGCGGGGTTGTAACACACAGATCGGCGCGTGGAACAGACGAACCTCGCAGTGACCGAGGATCTCGTCGAATTTCTCTCTCGAAACCAGCTCCCCCATTTCGTACTTCGTGTGGTAGGCTTCCTTCCAGAGATCCGCGTCGTGTGGATTCGCCAGAACGGACTCCATGTGGTAAACCTCGTCGTAGCCGAGAATCTGCAGCGCCTTGCGCATCGCTGCCGCACTGCTGGTGAGCTCACTTCGGGCTCCGTAAAGTCAACGCACAGGATGTTCCAGTGCGCGGATAGCCGAGAACCAACACCTTCATAGGCACAGTGCGCGTCATGCCCCGCCTCGACCGCCATTCGGAGCGTGGAGGAATCATACTAACACCCTCCTCAGAAAGAGACATGGTTCGTGCAGTGAAGGACCGCCGGGGGCTGCGTTGGCGACAGAATGGCTGCTCGTAGGCACCAAAGCATAGATTTTATACCAAGATCTTAATCGGCTGGGAAGAAGCGGAGCGCGCTTCTCGCCGTGCGAGTCTCAGACATGCGAACTGCATGCCCTGAGAGCAGAGCCACAGTCGAGGCAAATGGACATGTACCACATGTGGCCAGTGGTCGGCTGGAATCCCGAAAAGCCGACGAGGGGCAACCCTGAGACTCAAGCTCGGTAAAATTGTGTTCAAGGAACTCGGAAGGCGAAGGTTGATTGGGAGAGTCAGTATCCTAATCTTGTCGCTTCACGCCGCTCTTGGCCCATTTCAAGGCGGCCACGGCGGAGTTCGGCTTTTGTCGGTGAGAGCGTTGAGCAGCACGAATGCGTTGAACAGCACGAACCAAAAGGCCACAGAAATATGTCGCAAAAATGTTTAATTTATGATCAGTCCTGACGGACCGATAAGCGACTGATCTGAACTGACGACTTGTCGTCGGACCCTGACCGCATATCATCAGGCGGTGGTCAGGCTGGTAAGGTCTTGTCAGGTATTCTCAGACGGGAGTCAGTCTCTGGTAAGTGTGGGATCAGGTATTACAAGCTGTGATAAGGCTATTTTCTCGAGAAATGCTACAGATCAATGACATACATGCTGTACCGCATTCAGGGAGCGTAAAAATATGTCCGCATCAACCGTGTCGACCAGATAATGGATTTGGGTGCGTGCAGGGGTCTTCTCGCGACTCGGGGCCATCAACACACCACGAATCAAATACTCAAGTCGCACGAAAGACAAATCCTTCGCTTCATCGTAAACCAGACATCCATTCCACGTCGTCCGAGGCCGCCATTGATGAGGCTTCATGGTGTGGACAGCTGCAATGTCCACGGTGGATCCTGAGGGAAGTCTGCATCGAAACATAGCGCGTAATCGCGCGGGAAAGAGTCCTGGACTCTCTGAGTTGATGAGAACTGAGTCGTACCGTGGGCCTTGTTTGAACCAATTCGGGTGACATCGTAAGATGTCTTCACTGTCCGTCCAGTCCTCTTTGGACTGAAAGGATATATAGAGACAGTGGAAGAACTCGACCTGAGTTTGGCTATAAGTAACTCAAAATTCGATTGTGGAACAACGACTCGCCTTGAAAGACAATTCCGCACTCATGTACATCTCAGGAAACTCGTCGGCAAGGAACTGGCGAAGTTGGACGTCGAAGTTACGGAAAAGCTCGTCATTCTCCGTATTTTTTCGGCCTGTCAGAGCTCGACTGTCCCCGTAGTCCCATGGCGCACCGAAAATCCAGTGAGAATCAAGATTGGTCGGAGCGATCTTCGACTTGGGTGCTTTCCGTTGCGTTCCTGCCTTGCACAAGTCGTAGAGCTCGTCAGTGTCGTCAGGGAGAGGATTTTGTTGGCGTATAAAGTCATCGACCAGAAGCCGTGTGCGAGCCACAGCTTCCTGGTCTTCATCCCGCTTCGCAATCTAATATAAACTCAGTATTGTTCGGGAGTATGTAAGGCGGCCCAATGTACTTGTGCCTCGGCATTCCTCATGTTTGTCTGGTGAAAATGTTGGGCCACTTCTTGATGCATTCCTTCGCCGGTTCGTGTTGTAGCATTCCGAGGAACACCCTTGAGCTCGATGTCCTCGATTGCGTGGACAACGAAGTGCTGCTTAGGGAAGTTGAAGTTTTTCTCGTATTCTTTAGATACTGCCTACAATCCGAGCATGAGTTTTCTTCGCGCTATGATTTGAGACAACAGACCTTGCATGCACGCTCATAACGCGCGATGAATCGGGCAATCAATGCTTTGCGGCTTTCCGTGATGACTTTCATTCCCATCACGATCCGGAATTGCAGCAGAGATCGAGCGAAGGCGACAAGGGATGAACCGGCAGGCAAAATCTCGGCGAGGATGAAAACGATGCACTGTAGACAGGTTTTGAGCTTGCTTTCCGCTGCGAAAACTCACACACCTTGAGGATATCAAGGTGAGTCTGCCCATCTGTGAAATCCTTCGTCGTAAGGTCGTTGATATGTTTCAGTCCACGCCATCTCGGGAAACGTGCCATGCTGATGAAAACAGTCTAGTGCTTTCCTTGTGTGGAAATCGAGCAACTGACCGATCTGTAGCGTCCGTGGAGAGCTTGAGTTGGCCGAGGACTTCAAGCACAAGCTTCCATCCGTGATGTCCCCATTTACCAGACTCGTCAAAGTGCAAAAGATCATAAGCAACCGCCAGATATGGGTCGCAGAATCGAAAGTTCCACATGAAATGCTAAAATCCGGAACGATTGAAAGGACACAATTTTGAAAAGCGTAAATACGGCGCACCACAATATTATGAAGTCCGTGATCCTTCAAAATCTTTTCTCGTTCGCCTGCAGTCCTGGCCCTCCTACTTAAATCGACAACATGCCTCATGGACTGCGATGTGCGTGGAGGAACCATGTGAACGGCGTCACCCGTAAGTCGACCCAAAAGCTCCTGAGGGATGAGACATCTCGGGCATGGGAAATTGGCCCGATTTGAGCGACACGCGGTGAAATTCCAAGCTTCTTCAAAGTCAAGTGACTCCGTATGAAAGCCAGGGTAAAGGATGCGTAGGATTGAGTCCCCGCACGTCACAGGTGATCCATTGCAGGAGCGACGGTAGAGCGAATAGAACATAGTGTCAAGGACAGTTTGGTAGATCTCACGCTTGAATTGCGCAAATTCGTAGTTCTTGTCCGCTGATCTCTCGTCGGAGCTCCCCGGATCGTCGACCTCAGAATGATGTGAATATAGCAGGTTTAGAGAAACAAGTTACCACTCACCATGACCATAAACCCGAGGATTACACCGCCGCCATTCCCCGACGCGTTGCGAATGTCGGAGGGGAGCCACATGGGGCGGCCGACAATAGGAAACATCTTGACATGCTTGGTGACAAGTCCCTTATCGAGCCAGATGTGGATTGGAGCCCAGCAGTGCGGATTTGGATCGGGAAGAGGTAGTTCGTCCTGTTAATCAACATGAGCTTCGAAAATAAATATTCAGATCAAAGGACGTACATCAACCATTTTCCACATGTCCGCCGTCCATGGCTCATTAACCAGTTTCTCTCTTACACCATTTTCGCAATAGAAAACGGATTTCGATTTCCACTGGCTCACAGATGCAAGAGACGGATCGGTAAATAAAGAGAGCATCCACTCCCACGGATCACGATACTGGAAAGTGTATGCGTACTCCTTGTCCCATAATGTGGACTTGATGGTCTTTGATTGAAACTTGAATTTTTCTAGGTAAGCGCAAGTTTAAAGGCGGAATGAAATCAACGTACTTTGACTCCATGGACATGCGCATCAGTGAGGGTTCGGCGAAATTCGCGAAAGTTCCTCAGTGTGATATCCGAGTCCTGCTTTGACCATCGTCCCGTCATCCCTTTCAACTGTGCGTCAACAATATTGGCACTTGAAACACCCTTCACCGCGGTCTCGGTGTATTCAAAGTCGGAAAGTGTCCTCCATGGCGCAAATGGAGACGCTGCATCCAAGAGAGAGCGTGGCGAGGGATTGGCATGGTAGGAGGGGCTGGGGTCGCACAGAGAAGTTATCTCGCGTGAGGCACCAACGTCCTTAGGATGAGGGATGAAATCAATGTACGCCAAAGGAAGTCGGGGGAGGTTGCTATCTAATTGATTCGATCTTTAGCTCCACTAACCGTGGCTAAGACATGGTAGGACGTACCCAATTGAGCCGAAAACGCTTCATCAACATCCATTGCTTCGGGCGCAAACTCAGGACTCGGAGCAAACATGGGCGGCAGATCAGAAATTGCCGATCCGGGTAGCCCCGGCAATGTAGACGCATTGCCTGTCAAATCCGTTGTCTATTGAATGGTCAATTTTTATGTTGAGAATTTTAAAATAGAATACGAACATCTGTCTCGATGATTGCGCTGGTGAGATGACCTTTTCGAAACTGAGCTTTATCCCATTGCCGTTTACAAAACTGCTCATGAAGACGAAATCCGCTTCCAGGCAGGGTTCTATCACAGTATTTACAATGCTTAACGCTTGTATGCTTGTTTCCGCTGGTCTGCGTTTTCCTTCGAGGCATGAGAATAGATGGAGGTAGGAGCAGTGATGAGCGTGGATACACCCTGGCCCCGCAATCAATTGATCACATGTCACATGGTATGACGTAGCAAGCTGCTTGAGCTGACAAAGCAGCCACAATTGATCTGGCACGTGATGCCTTGTTAGGATCAGAATCCCACACACTATACTGCACGAGCTCGAGCCGCAGCTCCCTCCCCATGACCTCCGACTAGTCCCCTGTCGCTCCCCGTACAGCTGCACGCTCATACGCTCCGTAGGCGTGTCAGCAGAAAGGGTGACATCATCATCACGGCGATCAAAGATGTGAAGCAACCAACTTAAACAATCTCCGTTTCGTCGACAATGCTCACTCAATCCTCTTCCCTTTGTAACCATGAGCTCACGCGACGAAAACCAGCCTCCGAGAACCTACGATAACCTCGATCGCGGGGAGATAGTTGCTGTATGTCTAATTACAATTCTCAGCATGCAAATCTGTTCTAAACCATCCCAGGAGATTCGACAACGCGACCAAGCCCTCCAGGAGATGGAGATCCGGCTTAACACTGCCGAGAAACGTGCTCGTTTGAGCGATGCAACCAATACGTCTGAGCGGCATGGCCGTGGTCGTCCTCGTGCAAGGTACAACAAGGACGATGACAGCGCCGACGACAACGAGGATCATCTAAATCTGGCGGGAAACGAGGCCGAAGAGATGGAGGAGATATTTAGGCTTGCAGGTCACAAGTTAGTCCTCATTTTCACATTCTGGGCTTCGACCACCGTCAAGAAACTCCTGCGCTGTCGTCTCGACGACTCCTACGACGAGGCCAAGCGATTCACCAACCCCGACAACAAGATTCAAGGTGAAGCTCGTGACTTCCGTGAAGCCTTGGCTGTTGAAGGTCACATGTACATGACACAAGACTTCCTCATCCAGAAAGTAAGCCGCATCTTTCTTTATTCTGCATACGACTTAACTGTTGTCGCAGGCATCTAAAGCTATGGACCATCAACGGTCCAACACGTCCACTCGCGTCCGAAAGGGCTCTCGGGCCTTGTTCAGCATCCACCTTCCTGATCGTGTCAATGCTACCGACATGACGGATGCAACTAAACGCGAAAAGCTTTTCGACCTTATTGGAGGAAGACGGGAAGACACTGGATCCCCCGACCCTACTACGTCCCGCATCATCTTCAGCCACTTCGACGCTCCAGTTCTTCACAGCGATGGGTCCTCGACGTTCAGCATTGATACCTTCCTTCTCAACGAGCTTCCCATTCACGTGTGTCCGTTTTACTACGCCCTGTACTGCCTCAATAACTTGGTTGTTAGATTGCTGCATGTGTCCTTTTTGGCCCTACAAAGGCTGAAGCGATGGCAAAACATGTCGGATGTTCTGCTCGGGGATTGAACATGGCAGCCATTCACTCCATCCATCACACGACTCCGGGTCTTGTTGCAAACAGCGCAATGCTGGTGAGCCTTCTCGTTCTTTCTCCTTACTAGTAATAACGTGTTCGCCAGACTCTCTGGGCGTTGTCTCGTGACGAGGAGCTGCGCAGCACTGGCGTCCAAACCGGGATTGAGTACTCTAAGGTTGTCGAAGACTTCTTGTCGTATCTCCTGAAAGGTCTTCGTCTCAAAACCCTCCCCGTTCTCAATATCTTCCACCAGTGGGATGCCATCCTCTTTCCGGATACGGAACACAGCCTTGGGAACTCGGTTTCTGTGCCTTCTCTGGACGTTTCACGTGTCACTTCCGCTCTCGATGCTCTGGATTCCGCTCCTGTGCTGGACGAACCCGACAACAGCAGCTCTGGAGGTAGTGGTAGTGGATCAGAGCCCGGAAATGAAGGTATTAGTAATGAGTAAACCACGTCTCACTCGTGTATTCGTCAAATCCAAGCAAAGTTTTATGAGCAAAGGATGGTCTTTCTACAGAGAATGACAGTGCGACAGTACATAACGTGTGTCCTCGTTGTCAGGGAGCTCGTCCGAATCTGCGTCAATGAGCTGGGCGCTATTCTTGGGAAGTCGATGCTTCAGAGGGCGACGGGGTTGTTGTCCGCGTTCAGCACGCAGTCGCTCGGATTCTTTGCGTTGACGGCGACGCTTGGCAATGTAATCGAGTCCTTGTAGGTGTAAGGCCTCGTCGAGATCACTCGTTGGCACCTCCTCGCTGTCAGACAAGTGTAGATGTGGACAGCTGCGGCTGGGGCGAGGTTGACTGCGTTCAAGGGAGGCAGAGGGTCCTGTCGAAGCTGCAGAAGCTTGGGAGCATAAGCCAAATGCTCTGCCGAGGAGCACAGATGACGCACCCAAGCCAACAACAGCTCTCCTCAGATCCTCTACTTCTCCCTTCAGATCCTCCAATTGAGCCTTGATAGAATGGCCGGACCGGTCGCGATTCTCTTTGTCGGATCGTGAGAGCATTGAGGGTGGAGTCAGAGGATATGGTCTCGGCTTGCTGCGATGCGTGGACCGCAAATTTCGAGTGGACATATTGTCGGGCAGATGTCAAGAGCTGCTTTGAGCGTCACAGTCCTGTGTCAAAATGTCAAAGGATACTGGTACGCTGTGAGGTGCGAGTGGAGCACCGGGACGTTGTGGTCTGCGTCATCATGGCGCAAGTGGCTATGTCGAGGCTCCGACAACACTTACCACTGGAGCACAGACAATCGCGTGCGCACACATAGTCTAGTGGTTAAGTAGTTTATATCCATGTGTTCGATTCCCGCTGTGAAATAAATTGAGTGAATTCATTGCGGTTGAAATTGAGCACCTTTAAGCTGTTAATTGAGTGAATAACCTCTTGAAAGCGACGCACGTTCAAATAATAAGGCGCTGTAGAAAGTGAATCAGTACAAGTGAAGACGGAGAAAGCAAGAAGACCTGTAATCCTTTTGCCCTTCACCGCTGAGACCCTGATCAGTTCTGAGAAGGCGCTCAGGCACTCAGGCCGAATCAGCGCCTGATAGTGTTCTGATCAACCGCCAATTTCTGCCTGACTGACATCTGATACTCACCTGATGCGTCGCTGACCATTCCCTGATCATTGCCTGACTGACGTCTGATACTCGGCTGATGCGTCGCCGACCATTCTCTGATCAATGCCTGACCACCGACTGATGACAACTGATTCAACCTTTCCTACGGAAATCAGCCAGTCATCAGGCTGAAGGCCTGAGCCCTACCTATCAGCGCTGACCGCAACAGATATGCCAATTCAGATTTTTGGGACATACGCAGAACTCGTGCATTAGAGCAAATCCGAAGATTTCCGCAACATAGGCCGGACCAGACGAACTCGAGGCCGTGTCGGCTCCCACAGGTACTTATATTTGATGAAACTGCGGCAGGCGACTATCAGGAGACATGGCAGCTTGAGGGAGAGAAGCAGGTGCTTACTCACTGGTTGGTTCTCAGAAGGTAAACGTGCCAGAACGCGTCGCAGCATACCATGCGGCTATCAAGACGGGCGGATATTTCACTGAGGTCTCCTAGTGTGAGAAAGCAAACGCACCAAATCTGGACGTTGGCGGTTAATTCGGACGGTTCGGCCCAGGAGAACGGATGTTCCAGCAGGCCAATGAGTAAGGACGGCTGCCGTCAGCATGTTTGGATCGATCACAAGCTCTCACAGCCACACCCCAGGGACCTCCAATTATTATGTAAAATGGCTTCGAGGCCCCCTCCGGAGGCCATCAAACCACCCCCTACCCCCCCTGATCGGAGGCCATCCTGGAGGCGCCTTCCTAATTGGGATGCTGCCTGGCCATTTGTCCACTGCCTGTATGGTAGGCTAGGGATTGGCCTGAGTGCTGATATATGCTGTAGTAGTCAGTATAAAGCCTCAGACAATGTCTTACCTCTCAAAAGCATGTATTTCTTGCTTGCAAATGGCAGACCACTGGGTGCACAAAATTCGGGATCTGAGTACGTGAGCACTCCTCAGGTGCATAGAGCAACAGTATATGTATTAATTCAAGATTGAGCATGAGGTAGCTGTGCCCACATGCAAAAAATGAGATGTTGCTGAAGGGATGGTTTATGGCCTCCACGACCTCCCAGGGGCAGAAAAAAAGGTGTTGGGTAGCTCACAGGCCCTTGAATTCCGCTTCAATAGATCAATTTGATGCTTATGCTTTGTCAAAACAACAGCCCAGGATATAAATTAGATGCTGGTGCAGTGGCAGAACTAGCCTCCACCGCCTCCAGGGCTGGGGACCAAAAGCGGTTATTGTAGATTCAGCCACATAAACCATATTTCTGATGTTGTTTGTCCTAGTCAGAATTTCTGGGTATTCCAGAGAGACAGGTGGCTACATAGATCAGATGCTAGCAGCAATAGCAGAACTGGCCTCCATGGCCTCCACAGCCAGTGACCAAAAGCGGTTTTTTGGGTTCAGCCACATAAGCCATGTCTATGAAGTTGAAGGTCTTTATTATAATTACAAGGGTCCTTTAGTTAGATGTCTCACCACGTGAATCAGATGCTGGAGCAAATGGCAGAACTGGCCTCTACCGCCTCCACAGGTTATTACTTGAAGAGTCTGGATGAGATGACAATGTAACAGATAGATGTTCTCATAGATAACTATGTTCTGCTATTTATACCTCTGCATGCTAGTTTGATTGCAATAAAATGTTGAATTCAGAGAATGGGGGACCCTGGAGGCACTGGAGGCGCATGCAAGATCCAATCAATATCATCAATGCTATCAATGCCATCAATAGCATCACCGATCATTGGTAGATTGATCAGCCAATCAAATCATGAATAAAGATTGAACATCTAGTATATTCATTCCTGAGAGACACAGACTAGATGTATGCTCATACTGAAAGTGGACTAGTGGTCCCAGGACATGCCCCAGTGACATATTGCATCATTGTCTCAAGAACATATGATTGAAATTCGGAGTTTGCAAATGAGCTGAAAGTACTCCACTGTACCACTCATCTTCAGTTGACTTTCAGTTCATTTGCAAACTCCGAATTTCAATCATATGTTCTTGAGACAATGATGCAATATGTCACTGGGGCATGTCCTGGGACCACTAGTCCACTTTCAGTATGAGCATACATCTAGTCTGTGTCTCTCAGGAATGAATATACTAGATGTTCAATCTTTATTCATGATTTGATTGGCTGATCAATCTACCAATGATCGGTGATGCTATTGATGGCATTGATAGCATTGATGATATTGATTGTACCACTCATCTTCAGTTGACTTTCAGTTCATTTGCAAACTCCGAATTTCAATCATATGTTCTTGAGACAATGATGCAATATGTCACTGGGGCATGTCCTGGGACCACTAGTCCACTTTCAGTATGAGCATACATCTAGTCTGTGTCTCTCAGGAATGAATATACTAGATGTTCAATCTTTATTCATGATTTGATTGGCTGATCAATCTACCAATGATCGGTGATGCTATTGATGGCATTGATAGCATTGATGATATTGATTGGATCTTGCATGCGCCTCCAGTGCCTCCAGGGTCCCCCATTCTCTGAATTCAACATTTTATTGCAATCAAACTAGCATGCAGAGGTATAAATAGCAGAACATAGTTATCTATGAGAACATCTATCTGTTACATTGTCATCTCATCCAGACTCTTCAAGTAATAACCTGTGGAGGCGGTAGAGGCCAGTTCTGCCATTTGCTCCAGCATCTGATTCACGTGGTGAGACATCTAACTAAAGGACCCTTGTAATTATAATAAAGACCTTCAACTTCATAGACATGGCTTATGTGGCTGAACCCAAAAAACCGCTTTTGGTCACTGGCTGTGGAGGCCATGGAGGCCAGTTCTGCTATTGCTGCTAGCATCTGATCTATGTAGCCACCTGTCTCTCTGGAATACCCAGAAATTCTGACTAGGACAAACAACATCAGAAATATGGTTTATGTGGCTGAATCTACAATAACCGCTTTTGGTCCCCAGCCCTGGAGGCGGTGGAGGCTAGTTCTGCCACTGCACCAGCATCTAATTTATATCCTGGGCTGTTGTTTTGACAAAGCATAAGCATCAAATTGATCTATTGAAGCGGAATTCAAGGGCCTGTGAGCTACCCAACACCTTTTTTTCTGCCCCTGGGAGGTCGTGGAGGCCATAAACCATCCCTTCAGCAACATCTCATTTTTTGCATGTGGGCACAGCTACCTCATGCTCAATCTTGAATTAATACATATACTGTTGCTCTATGCACCTGAGGAGTGCTCACGTACTCAGATCCCGAATTTTGTGCACCCAGTGGTCTGCCATTTGCAAGCAAGAAATACATGCTTTTGAGAGGTAAGACATTGTCTGAGGCTTTATACTGACTACTACAGCATATATCAGCACTCAGGCCAATCCCTAGCCTACCATACAGGCAGTGGACAAATGGCCAGGCAGCATCCCAATTAGGAAGGCGCCTCCAGGATGGCCTCCGATCAGGGGGTGTAGACGACGAGTGATCGTAGGTCCTCAGTCGAGCCCAATAGTGGCGGTAAGACTCTTTTATTTACCTGTAGACGACGAGTGATCGTAGGTCTACATGTATGCTAAGTAATGAGTCATGAGAGAATAGACGTTGGAATACGCACCCTCAGTCGAGCCCAATAGTGGCGGTAAGACTGAGGGATGCGACCCGAGAGAAAAACTGTATATGTATGAAATCCCGTGATATGTCAAACACGCACGTAATAGCCTGTACGCCATATGATCTCAACACTCCCCCTGGCGTGCAGCGCGCTTCCAATCCAAGCCCAAGGCATGGCATATGCGCTCATGGTCGACACGTCCAAGCGACTTGGTAAGGATGTCTGCGACGTTCTCCTTTCCGGGAACAGACGTGATTGAGATTTCTCCTTCGCTGACGCGATCACGAATATAGTGGTATCGAATGTCGATGTGTTTCGCGAGACCATGACCCTTGGTGGTTTCCGTGAGACTAATGGACCCGAGATTGTCTCCGAGGAGGGGAATAGGCAGCTCTTGAGGTAGGAATATTTGGGACAGCCAGTTTTTCATCCAGATGGCCTGTTGCGATGCACGCGCAAGCGATATATATTCTGCTTCAGTTGATGACAGCGCAACCACAGCCTGTCGCTTAGACGACCAAGCCACGGGTGCACCAGCCATAAAGAAGATATATCCAGCTGTGGATCGTCGCGTATCAACACAGCCGGCCCAATCTGAGTCGACGAATCCTAGCGGTTTGATTCCACCTCCCGGTTGAGTGCCTCCTGGGGTGTATCTGATCCCGTAATCCAGCGTTCCTTTGATATATCTGAGTACACCAATCAGCAGGCTCCAATGTTCGGGTCCGGGATTCGCTTGGACGTGTCCGAGCACTGAGCACGCGTATGCTAGATCGGGTCGAGTCCCGCTGCTCCCCCATACAATGGATCCGAGAATTTGGCGAAATGGTTTTCCCTGCATGTACGCAGCATCTTCTCGAGGTAAGGGTGAAGGCAATGCTCGGATCTGATATCCCGGAGGCAGTGGAGTTGATAACGGCGGCAGGTTTGAGTATCCAAAGTATTCAAGGACTTTTTCGAAGTATTGTTGCTGACAGATCGAAATAGATCCATCTGGCAATTTTTCGATCGTGAGTCCAAGCAACAGATTCAAATCGACCTCTTTCAAGTCCCACTTCTCGGAGAACTCCTTCACTACCCGGTCGCTCTCCGTATTACTGGAGGAGGCGCCAAGAACATCGTCCGTGTGGGTCGTTGTTAAGGTATAGTCATCGCCTTGCTGTCGCGTTCTGACACATGGATCGGCAGCGTTTTCGGAGTATCCCAGCATCTTGTAACCCGAAGCAAGAAGTTTGTACCAGATATGGCCGGCCTGGACTAGTCCGTAGAGAGGCCGAAGAAGAAGACAGACTTTTTCCTCTTCCCCCGTCTTCTCGAAGCCTCTTGGTTGTTTCATGTAAACAGGTCGGTCCATTTCGCCATTGAGATATGCTCCGGAGAAGTCCCACTGCCGTACTTTCAGATTCTTGACTGCGGCAACCGCAAATACCATCCGAACGGACTCCATTCGGGCCACCATGGCCCATTTTGTTCCGAAATCACGTCCTTCCACCATCTGGTCACCCCGTGCCACGTATCTCGCTTTGCGTTTCACTTCCCTCCCGTCTCCGTCCACCTTTATGTCAAAAACCCACATCCCATCGATTGCCACCTCTCCTGGTGGTAGCGACACAAGCTTCCATACTTTTCGTTCGCTGAATTGCTTCATCTCGGTACACATTGAGGCGTGCCAGGTAGGATCTTTCATTGCTTCTGTACCATTTCTTGGTAAGTTTCCTTTTGTCGCACTTGCTAGCGCTAATGGTTTTGTGAGCGTCTCTTGTTCAAAATAATCCGAATTCAGATCAACGAAATTCACGGCAGGGCGTTGGTTATCCCGAGCCCAATCTTCTCTTCCAATCCTTGCCTCTTCTTCCAGACGGCTCGAAATCTTGCTCTCCATCATTTTTCGACTTGGCTTTGGTATGCGGCCTGTCCTTCGTGGAAGTGGTGGAATTGGACTTGGGACTGCTGTCGTTTCTATCGATGAGGTTTCGTTTGAAGCAGGGCCTTCGGATGAGGCTTCCTCGTTACTCGGATTTTGGACAGTCGACTCGGGGTAGTTGTGCGTTATTTCTTGAATATGCTCCCAATCTTGTGAAATTGACTGTGTTTCATCTTCGTGAGCAAGCACGCTGCTTTGGTCAAATGCAGCCTGAGATCCCTCTGTCCGGTGAGGATTGCCTTCCTCAAAGATTACGTTCCGGACCTCATATACTTTCCCCCGTTTTGGATCGAACACACGGTAGCCCCTCCTTCCCATATAGCCGACCATTCGTCCTTCCCAACCTTGGCGGCCCAGTTTTCCTTCGACGTTGTCCAAATCTAGGACCCAACATATGCTTCCCCATACTCGTAAGTGGGATATGTTTGGGCGTACTTGCTTTCCTGATTCGTCTCGTTTGTTGAACCAACGCATCCAGGGAATAACGTCAGGGTGTCGGGAAGATGGTATAAAGTTCCGCACGTAGCAATGGCTGGTAGCTGCTTCGGCCCAGAAACGCGCATCCAAGCCAGATTCGATCAGCTGCGTGCGAGTACCAGCAATAACTGTTCGATTTCCTCGTTCAGCGTGGCCATGCGCTGCCGATGATGCTTTTGGGACTCGTTCAATGGCAATGCCTCGGCTGCGACAGAACGCTGTGAACATATCGTTGTCGAACTCACTGCCCAGGTCGACTCGGACATTCTTGAGTTTTCGTTCTGTTTGGACTTCCGCCTCCTTGAGCCATGCTGAAAACGCTTCCAGGACAGTTTCTTTCCGCTTGTTCGTCAAGAACACGGGAAACTTCATGCTCGTCCCGCCGTCGGAGATAAGCATCAAATAAACAGCATTCCCCCAGCTTGGCGTGCGTGCACGCCCCCATAGATCGAGATGGACCCTCTCGAGAGGTTCCCTTTCGTGTACCACCTCGTCATCAAAGGGCATTTTGTCCTGCTTCCCGAGGATGCAGTCTTTACACATTCCACGTATGTCCCCTGTGGTAATGTCTAGTCCCGCAACTGATTCTTTTGTGGCCATTCGTTGAATTGCTTTGATGTCAGCATGCCCTAGTCGTCGATGCCAGTTCTCGATCGTTGTTGGCTGCTTCCGATTTCGACCGGCTATTGCAACAACTGTTCCATCCACCTCATCGACGACATCGACATTGTAAAGCCTGCGACCGTTTGCCAATTGTGCCGAGAACCTTCCATCCATTACGGTAACGCCATCTGGATTGATCACAGTCAAGATTCCTCCACCCCATGAACCTCTGCATCCGCGTGAGTCCAGTGTCGTGATGGAGACGAGATTCATGCCAAATGCAGGTGTGTGGAGCGCATCAAACCGTACACGGCGCAGGTCCCCCGATGAAATGCGCACAACCAGCTCAACTTGTCCTCGACCCAGGATGGTGAATGTGCCACCATTTTTCACAGCGGTATTGCCTGTCATTGATGATTCTTTGTAGGTGATAAACCTGGATCGATTGACGAAGCAGTGTTCCGAAGCACCTGAATCCAGGAAGGTGGAAACTTTTTCGTGATTTTGTGACGTGGTTTCCGTGGTACAAGTTATCGGTAGAGATTTGTGCAATTGACTACTACTCAGAATGGAAGCAGGTGGTCTTCCACATCCAATTCTGAGCAGCTCGTCAGACTTTTTGCACACACCATCGCAGCCTGGTGACATACCATCGCTGTTAAGGTGAGTCGCTAGTGCATACGTCGTGATGGGATTGCTGAATGCCGCAGTGGTAGTCGTAGGGATGGCCTGTGTGTAATTCACTGGGGGCGAAAGCATGGCATGGGTGTTAGGATAATTCGACGATGTTGCTTGGCGTGCTTCTTTCGCTTGTCGATGGGCAGCAACAAGCATGGGGTTGGGTTCTTTTCCCCGTGGAGCTTTCCACCATGATGGAGCCTGTCCTTCTTTGCCGCCGCCACGCGCCCAACACACTCGTTGGTGATGTGTACCACCACATGCAGTACACGTAGTCGCACCTCCCGGATTTGTTGGGGCATGAATAGTTAGCGCTTTTGTCGAATCCTTTGTATCCTCCTCGTTGATCTTCTTCAGCCATATCATTTCCCACCAGTCTCTGAGATTTGCGATGAGAGGCTGGACTTGATTGAAAGTCTGAAGCACTATCAGAGATGCGCCGAATTCCTCCTTCGGGAGCGAGTTGAGGATAATTGTACACATTTGCTGATCGGTGACCAGCCCGCCAATTCCGTGCACATCGGCACGAAGTTTAATAAGCTCGTCAATATGCCCGGGAAGATACCGCGTGTCCTTGAGTCGGAGATCTCGTAAACGTTCCATACGGATTCCAATAAGAAGCTCGGTGCTCCGGTTGAATTTGCCAATGAGACTGGTCCACATTTGATGTGCAGTGTCCGATCCGCTGATATCGTGCGATCGTGGATCTTTTATATTTTGGTACAGCATGGTAGCCACCCATCCGTCTCGAAGCGCCCACTCATCGGGAGATGGAAACTGAGAATTTAGAAGAGTGTATCCGATGGCTGATTGAACGAAGCTGGTAGGTAGAACAATGGCTCCAGTGAGGTAGCCCTCGAGCCCACGTCCTCTCGCCATATTGAACATTCCGTCCTTGAAATTTGACCAGTTCGACCCATCGGTAGACAGTTTTTGATCATCGGGGAGAATCGGGGTCGATGGTAAATTTGTTGCCATGTCTATAGTGCCGTCGAATGGGATTTTGGATATTGAGTCTGTGTTGGCTATTGAATTTGGCACTACTGATTTTTAGACCGTGCAGTGGTTCCCGTTTCACGTCTGACTGCGAATCTGTAGACGACGAGTGATCGTAGGTCCTCAGTCGAGCCCAATAGTGGCGGTAAGACTCTTTTATTTACCTGTAGACGACGAGTGATCGTAGGTCTACATGTATGCTAAGTAATGAGTCATGAGAGAATAGACGTTGGAATACGCACCCTCAGTCGAGCCCAATAGTGGCGGTAAGACTGAGGGATGCGACCCGAGAGAAAAACTGTATATGTATGAAATCCCGTGATATGTCAAACACGCACGTAATAGCCTGTACGCCATATGATCCCAACAGGGGGGGTAGGGGGTGGTTTGATGGCCTCCGGAGGGGGCCTCGAAGCCATTTTACGTAATAATTGGAGGTCCCTGGGGTGCACAGCCACACCCAAACCGGGCCTCATCAATGATCAGTCGGAACAGGTGTGAGGCCGCCACTTTTTTGTATTTTCACCGTCTTGGCCCTTGCAATCTGCCTGGAAAACTTCCACCCAACAACTTACTGTGGCCCTCCGAACCGAGCATCAATTTTCACCAGAAACTGTCGCTCGACAAGCCATGTCACGTCTCGGTGGCGTCCCACAGCCTTCGTGCGACAGATCTACCTACTTCGACCGTCCTCGCAAAACATGCCCGTAGCCAGCGCCCGCGGCCACCAGACTCACCAGTCAGACTCCCAATCCCATCGCCCTCCGCCGCCACAGACCACAGGGGCATCCTCCTTCGGGTGCCACGCATGCGGCACCCCTATCCCCGATCCACTCCCGCGCGTCCGATGCCTGGTTTGCCCGCCTCCGTTCCTCGATCTCTGCGCCAACTGCGCACTGGGCGAGCGCTTCCCCGCTGGGGGGTCGCATGAGCGCATCCACGCGGTGGAGGTCCTCAGAGTGAGCGGCGGGAGCGTGAAGGGGAGCGGCGTGCTGCACTTCAATGGGAATGCGAAGAAGCCGTTCATGCGCAGTGCGAGTGAGCTGGCTGAAGAGGCGCTCGGGCGGGGTGGGAACTCGACGAAGACTCGGACTGCGTCAGGTGGGCCACCGCCTGCAGCCACGTCACCAGGAACCAACCCGCCTCGTCCATCGCCTCCCCCGCCGCCGCCGCCGCCGCCGCCGCCGACCCAGCATCCACCACCACCACCACCTCCGAGGCCTACCGCACCTCCGCCACCCCCTAGAAACCCCGGTCCGTCCTCGTCCTCCACGTCGTCTCTGAGCGCGTGGGGACCGTTCTTCGCGAAGGATCTCAGCCACACACCGGTCTACGTTGATCTGATTCTCGCGATCTTCGCGCACCTGGACACCGCGCGCACAGACTACCTCGCGCCTGAAGCGTATTCCCGGCTGCGGGATGACATGGGGTACGAGTGGCACGCTAACGTCTGTGCGTCGCTCCCTGCCGTCGTATACTCGTCGACTAACGCTGCTGCTACTTGCTCTGACACAGGGAAGCGACACCTCGGGCTGCCGGGTACCGCACGGGCGGTCGAAGCGCCCGCCGACGCAGCCCTGAAGCACACGTACGAGATATTCGGCATCGAGCACGTCGTGCAGCACCGTCCGCGCCCGATCCACCTGTACTCGAATCCGATGCCGCTCCTCACGCGGCGCGGCCTCGGCGAGCTGATTGCGCTCGATCTGCTGACCGCGCCGGACAGCACGTACCCGAAACTGCGGCGGGTGCTGGACAAGTACCGCCTCCGCCCGTTTGCGCAGTGGGGTGTGGTGCCGCGGAGCGTCGTGCCGCTGGAGCCGAATGAATTAGCGGTCGAGAGGGCGAAGGAGGCTTGGAGTCGGGGATCGACGGTGTTGGTCGGGGCGGACGTCGTCCATCTGTTGTTTTGAGTGGGAGGGTCGTTCTGCCGGGTTTCTCTTCGTCATCGACTGCTCGAATCCACCTGACCCTTTTGTCATATCCTCGGTTTTGTTGAGATCTCTTCTACCGCTCACACGGGTGGCACATCAGCCATTCGGGACCGAGTGGAGGGTCATTGACCATCACATGAGTTGTTCATCAACATGGGCTTGTGAAATCTGCTCAACTTGACCGACGCGAAATAAAAGCATAGTCTTCCGCGATATCTCCCCGAGCATATTCCAATCCAATCCACCGAAGTGATTCAAAACACTCCATCGGCTCAGGATGACTGGAACCCAAACATTTATTAATACACTCCTGAGATTCAGCCTAGCCCAAGTGAGGACAAATTTGATTGAACCATAAAGACAGAACACTCACGACGATTTTCAAATTGGTCATGAAGTGTGCCCTAACCGACAAGCTCCAGGTTGGCGTATCAGCGAATCTTATCATGTGAAATATTACACCCTCCTCCACAACAGAATTCCGCGCTGGTGGAGCCATGGAGCACCCAAAAGTGGTTTTCACCTAGTGAGACAGAAAACAAATAGCTTGGCCCGGGTTTTCATGAGGACTCAACCAAAGCTGAAGTCAAATCATAGAGATTCAGACAACCACATCCGAATCTCGACGTGCATGTTGAGCCAGGGTGCGACATTATGACAGCGATCTTTGCGTTCTGACCATGGATTCGTGATTTGATTTGTTCAGTTTCCTCTGCCTGGCTTTCCTTGCTGCGAAACGATGACACGATTTGACCATCTGAAATACTTGATCGAGTTACAACTTCTGACTGAACAAACAAGATTGTAAACCTATCTGTCGCGCACGGAGACACCATTCTTCTGGTGCCGATGTGCGCTAAAACGAACACTGTTGATGAGGTCTCGGGATGTTTACCGCATCAAGATAACTCATCTTGAGACGCACGAAAAATACTATCCGCTGCATGTCCGCTGGCCTGCTTGAGCTCGGAATCTCAGCCGTTTTTGATGATTACTGACATGACATGATAATGGTTGTAATGCGTCGCATTGACCCAACCCTGACGTGAATGTACGCCGAGGCCGAATATTGTCGGTTACTCCGTATTTCCGCAGACGCGGGGTCGGGTCTCGGAACAGAATCTCAGGCTAAGATATGCTTGGACAGCGACTTTCAGACTGAGCGTTGGTGTTTCACCGTTCTGTTTCAAAGTTTGCCGTCAATATGCAAGAATGCATTCACAAGATCTTGGTCTCGCTCATTTGTCCGTCTGTGACGCAACTCAGGCCGTCGCCAGTTTCTGTTCAAATCAGACCGGATAGTAGTCCGTCACGTCAATACGGATTCCCATGGGGGAATCATCCATCCCCATTCGGGATAATTAGCAAGCAGACTCGAGCCTGGAAACAAGGTTTCGGGGATCAAGATGCCTCCACGTGACGAAAGGGGGGGTCAAAGCGGGGTGGCATCCCACGCATCATTCAAGAAGCGCCGGATCAATCGCGCGTAGAGGCTCCACGGTTGAATTTCGGAATCGACTGCTGCGGCCGTCCCGTGTCCGCAGATCACCTAATTACAGAGCAGCGCTTCTTGTCCTCTGACCCAGGCCAGTGTTAGAGAGCTGCCCATGGCTCGCGCGGAGCCGGACGAGTGCGTGCGGGACCGGGCGCCGCGGTCAAACATGGCTTAAAAAATCAAGGTACCCCAGCCAATGGGAACCCTTTTTGGCGATGATGGCATCAGTCGGCTAGCAAACCCTAAAAGCCCCAGGATGACGAGGATCCAAGAACGCCCCCAAGAGCCCATTTATCACTCTCAGCCTTGTGGCTGCGAGTAGCCAGGGATATGTCGAGGGATAATGGCGAAGATTGAAGTACCAGGGACACGAGAGTGCCTCCCAGACGCAGTACATGAATCAGGATGCGTCAAATGACAAGGTGCGAGATAGTAATAAACAGCAGAAGCAGAGATTGACCAGAGGCAGCTGACACGTGGCTGACGGAGCGGCGCTGACCTGTGACCGCAAAGTGACGAGCGTATCTGGAGGTATCCAAGCACCCTCATAGTCTGTTGCCGGTCACCTGGACACCCGCGCCCCGGTGGACCTCGTGTGCAGGACGCTCGGGGCTTTTACGCGATATGGTTTTCAGCGCTGCGAGACGGGCTGGGTTTTCCTCACCCAAATGCTCTCCCTGCTCCCCCTCCTCGCCGCACTCCCCCTCCTTGGCCTCACGGCTGCCACACCCACCGGCACCGAGCTCGCGCGGCGCGCCGCGTGCACGCCCGCGGCTGCGAACAACGCGGGGACCGACGACGTGCCTGCGATCCAGGCCGCGTTCAAATCGTGTGGCAACGGCGGGACGATCGTGATCCCCGCGGGGCGCCAGTACAACATCCTCAGCACGCTCTCGCTCGCCGGCTGTGAGCCCTTTCGGCTTCCCTCGTCTAGTCCTTGGGGCTGACCGACTGACTGATTTCTCTGCGAACGCAGGTGTGAACTGCGACTGGCAGATTGAAGGCACGCTCAAGATGTCGGGCGACTTGACGGCGTGGAAGGGCGTGCTCGCGACGATCCTCATCAGCGGCATCAAGGGCGGGCAGATGCGCTCTCTGACGGGCAGCGGCGTCATCGACGGCAACGGGGTCCCCTTCTGGACCGGTGAGCCAGCTGCGGCGCCGAACTCTCTCGCTCGTTGACCCGTAGTATTGACGACGGAGAACAGAGTTCGCCGCGGACTCGTCGTACCGGCGGCCGACCCTCGTCTACATGACATCGTCAACGACGTCGTTCACGATATCGAACCTCCGGTTCAAGAACCCGGCGAACGTCTTCCACTCGGTCGGCGGCGGCTCGAGCAACATCATCTACGAGAACCTGCGGATGGACGCGACGTCGACCGCGACCGCGATCGCCAAGAACACGGACGGCTTCGACATCGGCACGAGCAAGTTCGTCACCGTGCGGAACGTCACTGTAACGAACCAGGTGTGTAGTGTCCCCGGGTTGCTCGCCGATCGAGCCGAGTCTCACTGCGTCGCTGCGCCCAGGACGACTGCGTCGCGCTCAAAGCGGGCGCGGACCACACCACCGTCACCGGTATCACCTGCACGGGCTCGCACGGGCTCTCCGTCGGCAGTCTCGGCGGCGGCCAAGGGTCCAGCGATGTCGTGCGTGTCTCGCCTGACTGCGGGCCCTCGTCCTCACCGCACAGCCGCAGGTCTCCAACGCGATCCTGGGCCCCGCGACGATGATCAACTCTGCGAAGGCGGTGGGCATCAAGCTGTACCAGGGCGGATCGACGACCGGCACGGCGACGATCTCGAATGTGACCTGGACCGACATTACGGTCCAGAACTGCGACTACGCCGTGCAGATCCAGAGCTGCTACGGCGCGGCCAACACGGCGAACTGCGTCGCCAACACCGACTCGCTGACGGGCGTGACGTTCAACAACATCCACGGCACGACGTATGTGTGGTCGCGTCCGTGCGTTTCCGCACAGCGGCTGACTACATCCCTGCAGATCCTCGCACTACGCGCCGGTTGTCGCGAACATGAACTGCTCACCGGGCGCGGTGTGCGACGTTGTGCTCAAGAGCTTCAACGTCAAGCCGCCCAGCGGGACCGCCAAGGTCCTGTGCTCGAACATCGATGGAAGCCTCGGTGTGTCCTGCTCTGGCGCGGCCTCTGGATAAAAATGTGTGGCCCCCTTGTGTATATTATACCTGTCTTACTGGATCGCTCGTTCGCTGCCTCAATACCACACAATCTTCCTGAATCATTGAATCTGCCTGGTAGAACTCATCGAACCTTCACTGCGAAGTGATTGTCTGACAATGTGGCCAAAAAACGGAATTATTCGCCCCAAGCTCTAAAACGGGTTGTGGATCAGGGCAAAAAAACAGATCGATCAAGTTCGGAACAAAGTCATGTGATCGTGCATTTCTGGCATCTCCCTCAAAGTCACAGCTGAGCGTCACGGTATACTTCATGATCCTACAAACAACAGGGCATGTCTTCGAGATGAGGGTGACTTCCTTGGTCGATCATGAGTCGATGCTGGGCGGATGAATGTCGGATCCGGGTGTAGCTTGGCGGCGCATGACGGCCTGCATAACCAGGCATAACCGCGGCTCCTCCTGCTCCTCTGGGCCAGTTCCATCTCTCGCCGAATCTCACTAACTCCCTCGATGATATCGCTGCTCCCATTGCTGTTGGTGCTGGCTAGCCTCACGCCAGGCTCCCAGCCAGGCTCGGTCCGGACGACGTGCACACCCGCCGCGGCGAACGACGTGGGGGTCGACGACGTGCCTGCCATCTCCGCGGCGTTCAAGGCGTGTGGGAACGGGGGGATTGTGCTCATCCCCCCGGGCTCGCAGTACAACCTGCGCAGCCCGCTCTCGCTCGCTGGATGTGCGTCCCGTGCCTGCTGGTCCCTCCGATTGCGGTTGTTTCTCACCCAATGTAGGCGTGGGGTGCGACTGGCAGATTGAGGGCACGCTGAAGATGTCGGGCGACGTGGCGTTCTGGGAGGGCGTTTCGTCAGTCATCGTCATCAGCGGGATCAAGGGCGGCAGGATGCACTCGCTGACCGGCAGCGGCGTCGTCGACGGCAACGGGGTGCCGTTCTGGATCGGTGCGCGGCCCCTCCAACCGTGTCCGGAGTCTTACTTGCATCGCGCGTGCACCACCCAGAATTCGCGGCCAACTCGACGTACAAACGCTCGACGCTGGTGTCCATCGAGGGCTCCTCGGGCTTCACGGTGTCGAACCTGCGCTTCAAGGACCCTGCGAATGTGTTCCACGTGGTCAAGAGCGGCTCGAGCAATATCCTGTACCAGGGCCTGCGCATGGACGCGACCTCCACGGCGAACGCTACGGCGAAGAACACGGATGGATTCGATGTCGGGTCGAGTAAATTTGTCACGATCAAGGATACGATAGTGGTGAATCAGGTGCGCGACCTTTTTCGCGAGTGGGCTCTTGGACGATAGCCCTCGATAGGACGATTGCGTGGCTTTGAAACCTGGTAAGGATATGTCTCATTTCTTTTCCATAACTCAATCCTCCAGGTGCAAGCTTCACGACTGTGACCAACATCACCTGCTCCGGCTCGCATGGTCTCTCAGTGGGCAGTCTGGGCCGCGGGCAAGGCATCACCGACACCGTCAGTACCTTGCTCCCTCGCCCCAAGCATTCCAACCTGATTCTGTCGCGCACCAGGTCCAAAACGCCATCCTCGGCCCGGCGCGGATGATCAACTCCAACAAAGCCATCGGCATCAAGCTCTACGAGGGCGGCTCCGCGCACGGTCGCGCGAAGGTCTCGAACGTCACGTGGACGGACATCAGCGTCGAGAACTGCGACTACGCCGTGCAGATCCAGAGCTGCTACAACGCGGCGGACCCCGCCGCGGGCTGCATCGCCAACACGGACACGCTCACGGGGATCGTGATCCGCAACGTCACGGGGACGACGTGCGTGCTAGGCCCTGGGCTGTCTCCCCGGTACCCGGGCCGTGCGTTCTTTGCTGACGGGGATGTGAATAGCTCGAAACGGTTTGCGCCGGTGGTGGCCAACCTGAACTGCGCGCCCGGCACGACGTGCGATGTTGGGATCACGGGCTTCGACGTCACGCCAGCCACGGGAACCGCGACGGTCCTCTGTTCGAACATCGACGGAGCGCTCGGTATCGCCTGTGACGGCCCGGCGTCCGGGTAGCAGCAAGTATAGCAATCCATGCAAAGTAAGTAGTAAGTAGGTCTGAGGCAGAAGATCAGATGGCGAGCGCGAGCGCGAGTGCATTCATTGGAGACACCACCGACGTTTTCGGCCCCCTGCTGAGACGGCCAGACCCGCGAGACGCTGTCGGGTTCTACGGCGTCCGTCTCCGGGCGGATCCGTGAACTCGACGCGTGCTGTACGTACAACAAGCTCGTGGGTCCGAGTCCCGGACGTGAAACCACACAAGCTATGTATGGGCCTGGGGGTTGTCGATTATGATCGATCAGGCTGGACGGCCCGTCGAGCGGCGTCATGGGACGATGCATCGCGGTCCCACGAAACCCGAGACTGCGATGTTCTGTTCTGGGTGAGGAAGGGAGTTGAAACTCTTGGGAGCTGTACGCCCCCAGAGATGCGGGGACTTTCTAGCGATGAGGCCAGGTAGTGGACGGACGACCTCTGTGTCTGTGACGCTCTTCAGATACAGGGCGGTCCGTCTGACACCAGAGCACCCAAAAAAAAACGTCGCTCGTGTTTGCCGGTAGTATCAGCTGATGTCAGCCATACATAGGAGATTGCAGCGGTGTAAGATAAGGTAACTTGGGTGAGATAGAGACGCACACGGGAAACTGCGAGTCCTTCTTCTTCTCGTCGTCTCCGCGCACCTCGTCCTCCATGTCCATGTCCGTCTGAAACGCTAGTACTACGCCCACCGCCGCCGCTGCCTTCTCCTTCTCTGAGTTAATTGACAGGGCATCGAGTCCTCGGCATGTTGCGTCGCGGGACTCGGGCCGCTTTTCTTTTTTGTCTCCATCTCTCCTTCGTTTGGTTCGCCCTGCGTCTGTCATGACGAGCCCCCTGACTGAGCTTCTGCACCTGCATCTCCCAAACCCCGTTAATTTCCGCCTGAAAATATCTTTCTAATCATAATCGCCACTCATGCCTCACACCCCAAAAGAGCATAATACACTACAATATACCTTATTTCCCATCGCGGGACCGATTTGGACGCAACAGCGCCTCCCTCCGGACCAGTTCCCTCTTTCGGAATCCTGCGCGTTCGAAGTCCCACGTGACTAGGATTCGAGTGTGCGCTGAGCGATCGAATGCGAACGAGGAGGCGTCTCGCGATGAAGTACAGTAGGTCGAATCGGCGTGACGCGGGCTCTCCGAGAAAGAAAGAAAGTGTGCCCGACCAGGCACACTAGCACTGACGGTGCTCAAACGCGTCGCAGCGGACGAAACACCGAACACGGACAGACAACCTCGAGCCCAAAAGCTTGTTGTACTTGTTTGGAGGGGGCGCGAGCTCGTCTGCGGCGAAGCTCGGAATCGCGGACGGCTTGATGTGTGTGTGTGTTCGAACTTCGTGTGCCGAGGATGTCCCGCAGCCGAGGAGGAGGGAGGGGGTGTTTCAATCGTGACTGACTGACTGACTGGTGGGCCGGGATCGTCCATCGCACGTCGTGCGCTCGGGCAGGAGGGGGTGTATCGACGATCAGAGGCTCTCGCTGGGCGAGCGACGATCATCGCCTCCGCCGCGTCGATGCTGACTAATCACAATCACAAACGCACCTCCCGCTGGAGATGACGCACTCCAAGCGCAGTGGGCCGAGTGAGCATGATTTTTTCTTCTTCCCTGCAACGCCGGGGGGGCCGGGTGACGCCGGTGAGTTTCAAGTGTGCGCTCCGAAACGCGCTCGCTCAGAGAAGAGTACATGCTAGGGAGCCTGGCGGAAGGATGTGTGGCAGGGGAAGAAGCAGTCCTGGATCGACGAAAAGAGTAAGTTCTGTTTACATAGAGCCTGTCCGTCCGCCAGTCACGGTTGGGAAAGACCGCATCAGATGGAGTGATTGGACAAGCATGACCAAGCAAGATCAGTCCATTTTCTCTTTCAATCGAATCCCCCGTGTCGTTTGCAATAGCTCGCGTAGTTGCGCTTCAACACTGGGCTTCCGATGAGCCTCTTGATAGATCAACACCCCCAAACTCGTTGACGTTTGCAATCGGCACTGTTCAATGAATCTGGACTCAAACATCGGCCTTTTCCTGGGTGATGGATGCAATTCAACTGCCGATTGTAAAATGATGCGGGGAAGTGGCAGCAAAGCAAACCGCGGGCATGTGATCCTCGCCTACGACCCGCCGTGACTCGTTCGTTCGGAATAGCCTTTTTCTGTGGCAGACGAGTTAAGTCACGCAGAACCCGACTGTCTACCTCAACCTTTCTCGCGCCCGAGCTGACATCGATGCACGATGGAGCAGCAGCAGCAGCAGCACCATGGTTCTCGCTGGCATCCGCGCGCGCGCGCACCGCAGCCCGAGTGTTGCTTTCTGACTGACTGTCTGGGATGGGATCAGCTTCTCGCTTGCTCATCTGCGATCTCGCGACGGAATGGGATGGGACACCGGCCGGGGACTAGGGTCGCTTGGAAATCGGGTGGAGAATTGAGGGTGTGCGCGCGCTATATATATATATATGGCATATCCCGTCCGGTGGGTTCTCCATCCTTCGTTCTTCTTTCACTGCATCCAGTTTCACTCTTGCTTGCTCTTTCGACCAACATTACACAATGCGTTCTTCGATGCTAATTGCTTTCCTGTCTGTCATCTGCACCGTCTGTGCTGTTCCTGTCGTCCAAAGCGGCGAGGATCGCGCTCCCAGCAAGATCGTCCGTGGCTCTCCGGCAAGTCCAAGATGGGCACGAGCTGTGCTCACGGATCGACTGACAAGCTGTGACAGGAGTCCACCGCTCCCGCCTGGATCCACCCAGTGGACAACAAGGTCCAAGACAGAGCCGTCCCTGTGCGTAGCCCAGCAGCAACAGCTCATCCAGCTCGTCTAATCTGATACACCCGGACCAGGAATCCACGCCCCCGACGTGGGTCCATCCGCGCGACGAGCCTGTTCCGGTAGAGCAAGTCGCCAACGCGCCGGTACGTAGGGCCACACGCCTTCTCGTCCCTTCCCGTCCGGGGTTCGATGTCAGTCTAACAACGAACGCTATTCGATCGGACAGGAGTCGACGCCGCCGACGTGGGTCCACCCGCACGCGATTCCGAACGCAGTCCAGGGCCGGGAAATCGCGGTGCGTGTTTACGGCATCTCGCCCGTCCCCCAGTCAGGAGCTGATGGGAACACCGGGCACAGAAATCGACCGCCCCGCCCTGGGTGCACGCGCCCGCCGAGGCTGAGGCCGAGGCCGAGTCCGAGCCAGCGGTGCGTCGCTTCTCCAAATGGATTCCACGTGGGGCGCGCCGGCTGATGCCGCTCGCCCATTTTTCTATGATCTCCAGGAAGCCAGCCCGGATGCGAAGCCCACGGCTCCGACGTGGAAGCGCGTGCCCGCGGGCGCGGCGACGCACAGCGCGACTGGCGTGCCTGTGCCGCGTGCGACCGGTGCGCGGGGCGATGCGCCCACCTGGCGGCTTGTCGACGACGAAGACGTCGACGCGTGAGAGGCGTGGCGTGAGTGGGGGTGTCCGCGATATTTATCTCTTCAATTCGTGATTTATTGTTTTCGTGTTTATCTATCGAATTAGGTTGTCTAGTATATATTATCTATGTATTTATCGTAGCGTATCTGACCTGCACTCGCTGTTCTGTTTACGGCAGACTCAATGCTGCGATGATCACTGTTACTGCACTGCACCCGCGCCTCGGACCCGGACCCGGATCCGGCTCACACGAATACCCGCGCAGCAGCGGCGTTTTTGCTGCTGCGGGGCATGTGAAACTGCACTGTGCCTCTCCAACCCAGTGATGGTCCAGTGACGTTGTCGGGGGCAGTAGCTTCTCGCCCCCCGTCGGTGTGCTCTGGCACATGATTCTAGAGCTGGAAAGGCATCGGCGTACGTACCCAGCGCAAGGCAGTCCGTGGCATCGCTCGCCCAGTTGATAAGTACCGCCCCTCCGAAGATCACCCGTGCGTGCTCGAGATACATTATATTGTGCACATACATCGATGGGGGGGTAGCTCACAAAAGACCAGCGGTGTCACCCACGACGCCGTTGCGCCCACTTCTGTGTGTGCGCGCGCGGCTTCTCGACTCTGCAGCCGAAGCGTGCAGCAGCAGCAGCAGAGGGGGCGGCCGGGACCGGGTTTTCGCACGCATGGACGCCGTTAATATAACGCAGAGAACACCACGGACACATCGTGATGATCACGGACGAGAGGGGGGAACGCCGAACGGAACGCCGTGGGTTGTCGAGCGTTGACAGATAGATCTTCCCCGCGGCATGTGCCCGTGGGGAGCGCGCCAGTTCTCGACATGGTGGGGGGCAGGTGGGAGCCGCCACTGGCTCAACTCCAGGCACACGAGGTTCCGACTGGATGCTTGCTCCAGCTGGACCCTACGCAGCGATGGGAACTGCAGCCGGAGGAGGAGCAAGAGCCAGAGCCTGACTGACTGACTGACTGACATCTGAGCGCGAGAATCTGGATCCCGATATCAGCCCGAAGGCACGGAAATGAATGCGAACGCGGAGATTGTCCCGTGTGCCGATGTGCGAAAAATAACCGTCAGCGGACTCCCACCCGAAGGGGAAACTCCGTCAAGCGCCGGCGGCGCCACCTGATGGAACCAGCAGCAGCACAGAGCGGGACGAATGCACGCGGAGTATCCTCCACCAGCGAGGACATGCAATGCCCGCTGCTGCTGCTGTTAACTGCTGCAACAGCTGTAAAGGCACCAACCGGCAGCGGGATCCCGGCCGACCTGCGGCACAGCACGGGCTTTACATGTCCCGGGGACACGGCGTTCTGGCAGCTCGGGGGCCTGGCGCTGGGCAACGATCAGCATCAGCTTCGATCCCAGTTCCGCTGCGTGTTCGAACGAGATCGAGACACCAGATACACGGAGATAGACATCTCTCGGGAGATATACCAGCGAGGTGGTATGGCTGCGATGCAATTACAGGGGGATGAATGGATCGATACATGAGTTGGCTGGTATATGCAGTCAGGCCTACTGGATTTTATACAAGGGGAATCGCGGCATAGAGTGGGTGGCAGAGCACACCGGGAACGCGTCACAGCGGGCTGTCCATCGTCATCACATCGGGCGGCGGCGGCGTCATGAGCGTGTCCTGCAAGCCGCCCGTCGACTTGCGCGCTGCACTGCGGATGCGCGAGTGCTGCCCGCGGTGCGACACAGTCGGGTACTCGCACGCGATCTTCCGGCGCGCGCATTGGCTGCGCAGACAATAATAAACAATCAGCACAAAAAGTCAAAGCGAGCGCCACCAGAAAGACGCACTTGCAGGTCTGATCCCCATGTGGATCGTCCGGGCGCCCACACGCAATCTTGCGCTCGCGGCAGAAGTAGCACGACAGCGCCTGCTTCTTCGTCCGCCCGCCCGCCTTCGCGTGGTTGAACTTGAGCTTCGGCGGCGCGCTCAGCCCGAGGGCGGACAGCCCCGGCGGGTACGCCTGGTACTGCGCGTGCGGGCTGCCCATGGCGATGTGCGGCGCCGCGTGCGCGTGCGCGGACGGCGGCCGCGGGGACGTCAGCGCGGACGGCTGCGACCAGGACGGCGTCGCCGGGATCGTCAGCCGCGGCCGGGCCTGCATGTGGCCGGGCCCCGGCGGGGGTGACGGCGGCGCGTACCGCTCCTGCGCGCCGATGCCGATCGAGATGGGCGGCAGCGCGATGCGGGGCGCCGCGTGCGGATGCTGGTGCGGGGTGTACACCGAGGACGAGGACGAGGTCGAGGAGTAGAACGGCTGCTCGTCGGGCGGCTCGCTCGTCTCGCTCGCCGCGCTGGCGCTGGCGCTGCTGCTGGCGAGGGACGACGCGGAGTGCGACGCAGCAGGGTGTCGCCGGGACGCGTAGGAGAAGGCGTACGGATCGGAGGGCGAGGCCGACGACGCGGATGCGGAGGAGGGGCGGGGAGAGCGGGCGACGAGGTCGATCGTGCGTGGTTTCTTGCGGTCGAAGATCGTCTCGTGCTCCTCTCGATGCCTGGCCTGCGACTCCCGGTCAAGTGGGCGTGAGGGCTGTGTGTGGCATGTGAGCAGGGGAGAACAAAAGCCCAGGGGCTCCCATGCGTACCACTTTCAGCGGGGGAAGAGTTGACGTGAGAGGTGTGCCAGAGTGGAGCAGACCCTTCGTGAAGAGACTCGAGGTCGAGGCTGATGCTGATCGGGGAGAGCCGGCCTGGAGAGGTGGCAGGTCGCTGCACTGCGCCGTCAGGGCCTGGAAGCTCGGCAGCTGTATCTTGTGCGCCGACGTCGAGCTGGTGGGGGGTGGCATCGTCATCAGCAAGGGGTGGGAGCGCCGCAGAAGAAACACCTCGCACCCATTCCTGCGCGGGCTGATATTCGCGATGGCCAGCGGCGGCAGGCTGTGCGGGGCATGCAGGTCGTGGCCGGACCCCGACGGGGTGCGCAGCGGAGGGAGGTGTGTCACAGACATGGCTGGCTTGCTGGCTGGCCGGAGGGGCGAAGACGGGGATTCGACGAGCGAAAGTCAGATTCGGTCAGCCGTGGGTGGAGGACAGCTTATATTCCCGGCTGATAGTATTACCCGTGGCCAGTGTCAGTTGTTCCAGTCCCAAAGCGGAGGCCGGACCCACACACTAACGACGCAATCAAAAAATCTGTTGCGGAGATTTTAGTGCGCGAGGCCGGGAGATGCCCGGGCCGCTGCTCGTCAGTGCGCATTGGAGCATTCAATACATAATTGCATAGTTCCATGGTCCTGGCCTCTCCTGTTCCACGTAAAACGTCTAGATCCCCTGAGCCGCACAACGTGGAATCCCGGGTGGTGGGCAGTAGAAAGTATTCACCCGGGGGCCGAGTGTGTCTTGTTCGGATCACGGCGTATTACAATAGCTTCCCCGACCTTCCTAGAAAACAATCTCCGCTGATCCGCCACGAACTATTCACCCAGATGATGATATCTTGACGCATCGCCAGGGGGCCAGCACGGGCAGCAGGCCTATCGCATGGCTGCAGTCGCTCACCGCCGCGGGTCGCGCAGAATGCACCCGCTGCAGACGAGCGGAGAGCATTGCCGCAAAGGCTGTCAGCGAGGGTAACGATCGACAGAAGCATCCGTGCTGTCCCACCGCGGCACCGTGCGCCCGGCGTCTCCCGGCCCGTGTGTCGTGACCACGTAATTGAGCGGATAGGTCCCGCTAACCCCGTTTGGGCGCTGAGGTCATGCGGCCTTGATCAGATCGCACGCGTCGCGAAATGAATGGCCTTGGATAGGATAGGAGATCGGAGCAGGACAGACAGGGGTCGTGTAGTTTCTCCGAGGATTCAATTCGTGCGTACGTACGGAATCGAACGCCAGAGCAGGCCCACGGACACATAGGGTGAACATCCTCCGCCAGTCTACCTACTTTTACGTTAAATTTTTCGACATTTTGAGCAACTTTTACTCTATTTTTGGAGGGTTAATTCGAATTTTCTCCCTAAGCTTCTAGGGACTGTATTTAAGCTGTAGGAGCTTTCACCTGACCTATACCACCTCTAGGACGCACAGTATCTGTTCCCGCTACGCGTTTACGAGCCGATGGGACGTCCTTGTAGACTTTTCCGACGCCAATCCATTCCGAGAGATCCAACTCTAGGTCTGTACTCTCGTCACTGTCCGTGACTTCGAGGACAGCTGCCGACACTTCTGTCATGCCCATGTACTTCGGGAACCGGCAGGATGGCGCAGCGCTTGGGAGCCGGGAACGATGGGCAAGAAAAAACGATCAGGCAAGCGATCATTCTGATCATATCGGTTGTTAGATTCTCCGTAGACTTCCAAATTCAGTACATTTCCAGCTAAAATTAGTCTTGCTGACGACTGAAAAGACTACATGAGCCCAGATGTCTAAATTCAAGTCAGAAATGCCCAGATCAGGCCGGGTTCTACCCGATTTTACGCTGGTGCAGGGCTCAAATCTTTCAAGATCGGCAGGGATCTAGCCAAGTTTTACGCTATCTCCGGAGGCTTGCTGCCATTTTTGAGGCACTTTTACGCTATTTCCCGGAGGGTTAAAGTCAAAAATTTCGGCCAGATTTACTTTATTTCGGAGGATGTTCACCCTATGTGTCCGTGGGCCTGCCAGAGCAAACAAATTGGCTCGTGCTGAGGCCCCACGGCTGCTGCTTGTTCGACAGGGGCGGAGAGGATCCACGCCGCTGGTCGTTACGCAGATGCGTCGAATTGACTACCTGCACACGGTGATGCACGATCTGCGTTCGCCGCCCCATCAGAGAGACTCTGGCGACGAGGATCAGCATCGAGGAACGCAGCGGGTGGACATCTCGACATCCAGCGTGGGGCGGATCCCGTTTCCAGCTGCAGGCGTGCAAAGGTAAATGGATGTCAATGATACTGATGCGTCGCGTGAGTGGAGAGGTACGGTCCGAGGCCGAGGCTTAGAGGCTGCTTCTGCGCGAGAGACGGTTACTACCTTGGTCATCCGGAGAGGAGATGCCGATCCGATAGCAGCTCTAGCCGGGATTTATTCACTTGGCATGGTGAGTGGACTATGATGATATATACCCCGGAGGTGTTACCAGCATCACTATCACAAAGAAGTCTGATTGGTGACAAAAACCAGCATTTCCGAGGGGGCTTCCTCCTCAATGGCAGCCCGCGCGAGGTTGTCATTGGTTCGATGGTGTAGTTGGTTATCACGTCCGCTTCACAGTGCATTCTCATGTGCTTGGTCGCGGGAGGTCTCCGGTTCGAGCCCGGGTCGAATCAATTTTTTCCTTTTTGTTATCCAAGTATCTTTCACTTTCCGTTCGTCAGCGTGAAATCCTGCTTCCTACTTACCACCTTATTCAAACTCTCCCGCAGCTTCATTGATATCTCATCCCATTTTGATAAAAACTTTGCACGAGAAAGCCTTTGTAGCTGGCCATTTGATGCTTTTCTTCCCGGACCACTAAACAAGCCATGCACGTCTGCGTCCACCCTATTGATTGAAGCATGTAGGGAGTTTTTGGAGGTCGACGTTCACAGCGCCAATCCGGATTGGAGCAGCGCGCTGCGTTGTATCAGAGTGCTACAATGGACGGTCACATCAAGATGCGACTGGTCACACACCCAGAAGATCTCACATGCGATCAAGAAATTCAAACTCCGGGCGACTGCACTAAAAAAACTCCACTATCAATCGTGAACCCGTCGATTCACACAACATAAGCACCCCCTATCAAGGCCGAAAGCAACACGACCCAGACCCACGCAAACCGCACGCCTGCCTCCCGTCCCACAGCGCCGCCTTTCGGAGTGGCGCTCGGGAGCGGGTACCCTCCGCACCCGGACGTGAGGTTGAGCTTCGCGGTGCAGCTCGTGAACGCGTCGCGGGCATCCTTGGCCGACGCGACCTTGTCGAGCGGACAGCCGCACGTGTTGTTGACGAACGCGGGTATGCTGCCCGCGGCAGCGCAGCACGAGTCCAGGCCGAAGAGGGTCGAGGTGGTGCAGCCTGGGGTGATGCAAGGTGCAGGTCAGGGGCCGAGGTGGGATAGCAGTCGATGATGGAGACTGACCTTCGAAGTCGGAGCTGAGCGTTACCCCGCCGTTGAATGAGCTTAGGGAGCAGCCGGCAGGGAGGGTGGCTGTTGCAGACGCCGAGGAGGACACGGCGGTGGCGGAGAGGGACGACGCGGCAGGCATTGAGAATGACCAGAGCGCAGGAATGATTCGATACCTCGATGTCCCTCTGCCCTGTCCTGCAGCACGACTTTCATACGAGTTCGGCTACATCAAGGCTGTGTGATAGTAGATACGATTATACCGACCCCCCCTCCAAACATCACGGATGAGTATTCAGATCACTCGGCTGCTCGACACACGTCATGTATCATACAGCTCTCGAGAGTTTCAACACAGAGTAGCGGGTGCAGCCCGTGCAGAGCCACCCCCGTGATAATGGCTGAAACGCCTCGTGGACTTGCGAATTTGCAATTTGTACTCTTGTGATGCGCTCCGCTGCAGAGAACGGGAGATTGGACAGACACCCTTGTGAGACTTATCTGAGACGGGGGCTGTGACTAATAGCAGCACCGAAACTGTAAGATATAAGATGAGACGAGACGGCCGGCAGCAAATCGCATAGGGTACTCAACACGCGACCAAAGCTCAAGTAAACCTAATCTTTGCAGACGGGAACCGTGCGGTGAGAATCACGATTTTAGTCCCAGCAGCGAAATAGGGGGTCCGTAAAAAGGTCTGACTACGCAAGTCGTGGCCCTTCGAGCTGGATCCAGTAAGCCCCTTCGAGTCCTTTCGATCCTGTGAAAGCATTACGCCGATGCGGTCTCCGTGACGATCGAGGAGAACGAGGAAAGTAAGCGGAAACATTTCGGGATGTAAGGGCGGCAGTCTTCGTCTCCAGTGGGCCTACGAATCGTCGTTTATCTTCGCCCCATGCGCATCGTGGTTGGGGTAAATTTGGTGAGTGGGAATCATGTACTGAAGGATAGAGATATAAACAAGAGGGTAGAAACCGATAAGGGAGCCGCGTGTATTACGCAGAAAGTTGCATTTTGACTCAACTCGACAAGCAGGTATCGTCTGACAAGTAGCGAGACAAGAAGTGTACCATCAAAATTGGACTAGAATAGATCAATACCTAGATCCATACGAGAACTCTGTCTTTGTGACATCATTTTTGTGGACAGAGTTCTAGTATCGATAATTCATGAGAGTCAGAACGAATGACAACAGTAACAAAGGGGCCGACATGCTGATACCCATACACATCAGGCCGGATCCACGGCCCTGCAGCTCGTAGCCTCACCCGGCACACTTGCACCGGCCTTGGGCAGGCCAGCATCCTAGGTCCTCGAACAAGTGTTTCAACATCGGCCTGTACCTCGAGAGAAGACGCGAGTTGATGCTGGATGCAAGCACGCGATCCTCGGCCACATAGATCGACGTCCAAGAGACGCTAAAAGGACGCTCTGCGCGGGCCGGCGCGGCGTGCGTGCACCCAGGACCGTGAGGTTGATTCCCGTGGCGGTCGATGCCGGCCACACGCCCGCAGCAGCGAGGCTGAGCGGTGAATTCCATGCGCGTGCGGGTAGACCCCCGCCAGCGGTATCGATTCCTGTCTGACAGCCCGCGTCTTGTGCATACGAGGTAAACAGAGCGCGCCGCACTGGAGCGGGCTCTCGCATGGATGTGCTCAGGAAGCCGGGGTGGCTCCCTGCTACTGCCAGAAAAGTAACCTCTGGGGGCGTCTGGAGGATCACAGGAACTGACACACCCGAGCCCCTCGAAGGACTGGTGCAGGGGGTTGTCCTCTGTAGCAGGTGACACAGCAGTCGAGATACAAATGTCCCGTTCAGTCGTCCGAGGAAGAGAATGAGGCTGGAGGTGTCGAGACGAATGCTTTCGACTGGCTGAGCCGTATCTTCATGTGCGCGCTACTACGATCACATCCACAATCCCGCACCCGATTTTCGAGAGACGCCGTCTCCAGCCTTTTGTCCTGTCGTCCTGTCCATCCAGTGAGTGTGCCGAGCCCAGTCGAGGGCCGTTGCAAATGACAGCTCGCCGGTATCCACCACGAAATCGAGCGACCGGTCGTTCGCTCGCTGAGACGTGTGCGTCAGAAACATGGGATGGCACGACTCCACGTGAATCGACGACTTGAGAGCACACGGCGGCAGCGGAAGAGATTCGACCCAGTTCCGGGTGCTGGGAAACATGACATCTCGTGTGAAGAACTGGATGCAGAGCACAAGGAATCAGGCGCGAATGTCGACGTTGGCTTTGAGCCGGCTGAGTAGACGTGGATGGTCCCGCTGCAGAGGCCAATAGGGGGGAGCACCGGTGCCGGCGACGACAGCACAGGGAGCGTTCACAACTCTCCTATACATCCAGACGGCCACGAGGTGGGTTCCGGACTTGATCTGGCGTTGACCGCAGGTGTACTCGACCAGCGCAATCCTCATAGGGCAGTCGTGTGTCGGGCCGATGACGTCCGTCCGGAAGCCAACGGATGGCACCCAGTGAGTGCTTTGCAGCAAGCTGCAGAAGGTCAAGAGTCGAAGTTATGATGGACAGAACCACGGTCCTCACTGATGTCGCCATCAGCGCTGGAACACGGAGCAAGAGTATTGGTGCTCACCAAGACTGCAGTCCTAATGTCAGGCCGCAAGGTTCAAAGCTTGCAGGGCATGTTCTCAAACCTCAGCGCTCAGGTACGCGGACTAGCACCTCGCAGGCGGCCCCACTCTCCCCGGGAACCGCAGAAGTCCACGCATCGACACATCACGCGTAACTCGTTTGCAAAGGACACGCGCAGATGGTCGGGCGGTCCGACACGTGTCGAAGAGTACGGGACGAGGTGGGCGGCATCGCGGGGTAGGTGAGCGTTGTTCCGTGGCGACAAACGCAATCTCACGCGACAGAGGTGGTCTCTTTGAGCCTCTGTCTTCGTCAGCCTGCGGCAGGAAGAGAGCGACGAGGGGGTCAGGCCACAGAATGAGATGCATCGCCGCCCACAACGTTCAAGGGACGGACATTCGGAGTGACGAGAATGAGCTATGTGCGGGGTCTCTCGCGCGAAGATCTGGTGAGATTATGGATCAACCGTTGCGCGCAAGGTGTATGGCCCCGACCCAGGAGTGAAGTGGGGGGATGTATGGGAATGGGGATCTCAGCTGGCTTCCGTTGAAGATAGAGGCCAGCGGATAACAACTATGCATTCATGCATTCACAAAACCATGATGGAGCAGAGCAAGAGACGAGGCAACAGAGGTGATGCCATCAAATGAGTCATGTCGAAGGTCTTGATCATCCATCGAGGAATTTCAGCGCTGCAAACAGTTGATCATTTTTAAATCCTAGAGTAGTCTATTCGAATAAAGTTAGACAGAGTAAAGACAGTACAACAGCAAATGCATGAAACGGCAGACGCTCAGGCAGCAAGGGACGTGATCGAGGCCGGCAGCGCGTTGTAGGTGGGACACAGCTGGTTCCACTCCGAAGTCGGGATCAGCTCAGACTCCCAGTCAGCCACGTCCTCGGCCATCACGACCGCGAAGCCAGCCTCCAAATGCCAGTCGATGTGGCAATGCAGGAACCACGCTGGTGAGAAAAAACAACGATCAGCCGTCAAGCGTTCAAAGAAGCGCCAAGTTGAGACTCACGTCCGCGGTTGTCCGTGAAGAAACGGATCGTGACATTGTCGCCAGCGACTCCGATGTTGACGACATCGCGGCGGGCCGGGTTCACGTAGTTGTAGGTCGTGCTTCCGGCAGCCCGGATGACATCAAAGGTGTGTCCGTGCAAATGGAATGGGTGCTGTGGAAAAAGCATGAGCTTATAGGCAAAGCGCGCGAAGAACTAGGAAGAACTGACGCCGCCACCAACCACACCGCCCGCGAGCGTGATTTCGACCGACGCAAAGTGCGGGAGCGAGTACACCGAGCCGTTGGGCAGCAGCGACTGCGCGGACTGGGCGCCGGACAGAATCTGGAGCAAGACAGGAACAGTGGGTGGAACGAAGGCGTCGCCGTTGATCGTGAACTTGAACGTCGTCTGGGAGATTATCAGTGATCCAGTCGGAGATAGAGCGAGTTCCTGTTGATCAGCCGCACCAGGTCAAACGCCAACGCCATGTTCAACTGCACATCAGCACCACCGCTGAACGCGCCACCGGGGGCACCAGGGTTCACCAGCGGGTGCAGGTCGACCTCGTTGATCAGGCCGTTGGTCGACGTGTCTTGCGAAGTAGTAGGCTCCGATGCGTTGGCTCCTACGTCTGGAAAGGAAAGATGAAGATCAGAATGACAGATAGATATCTTTCGTATGATTTCGACGCACAGCGGAGGATCGCAGAGTTGATGCCGCCGGTGAAGCCGGTGGGACCGGTGTTCGGGTTGGCGCGGATCCAGTAGTTGTCGATAGCCTGGTCAGCGGTCAAGATGAACGAATAGCGTTGGGCTTGAGACATGTTCAGTGACGGTTCGACGGCGCACAAAATCGGAGGAAAGCTCACCCGCATAGATCTGGATCGAGTCGACGCTCAACGGCTCGTGCAGAACGCCGTCAGCCTCAATGATGGTGAGATTGGTGTGGCCGTCGATCTGGAACACGTAGTTCGAGTCGCAAGCGGTGTTGACCAAGCGGAAGCGGTAGCGCAGGCCTTGCGTAACGTTGATCACAGCGAGGGTTGTGTTGTCGAGCGTCGCAGCGGTGCGTCCGAGACCGTTGATGAGCATCGAAGAGGGCGTGCTGCGCAGTTGAACTATCAGAATCTGATTCGGTCCTATGCAACAGACATGGCTCACCCAACGCCGGTCACAGTCTCTGCGAAAACGTTGTACCAGTCGGACAGAGTGATCACTGTCGACTCGTCGTCGACGTCGTACTGGGAGAGATACGCGTCTGCGGGATCGTAGATGACCATTGCGCCACGCAGACCGTCGCAGTACTGAGTGGCGAGGTGAGAGTGATACCAGTACGTTCTGTGCAATTCCTGTTCAGAGCGGCCTGAGCCAGCGATAAGAAAAGCCAAATACCCAGATTGTATGGCTGTGAAGTCGTATGTGAACGAATTCCCAGGCGAGATCGGACACTGGTTGATGAACGCAGGACCGTCCATGTAGTTTGTCCCGTTCTGGAACAGTCCATGCCAGTGCTGCGAAGGGGGAGAGGACAGTTAGCTATATGCGAAATTTGGAATCTGGCCCTGTCTCACGATGGATGTTGGCTCGAGCATGCGGTTGTCCTCTTGCTGGTCGACGACCGTGAGCTGGAAGTTGTCGCCAATGTTGCCGGTCACGAGAGTGCCAGGAAAGGTGCCCCCGGCCAGCACAGCGGCTCGGGGGATACCATCGGGAGAGATCGTCTTGTTAGCCACTACGAGGGAGCCGACGGGCCCAACCGTCGCGGCGGAGACGATCCGCGCCGCTGAAGCGAGAAAAATGAGCGTCCGGAAGGAAAGAAGCATCTGAGAACGAAAGAGATCTCCAAGTTGTGTCTTTCAAGTGAGTTCAAAGGCAGCATTTATAGAGCTTTCGTCCAGAGAGACAACCATCTAGACGATCCCTCACACCTCAGTTACCACCGCCATCACCCGGTTGCACCCCCGCGGGGGTCCTCCTGGGTACCCTCAGACGTAGCTCTGAGGGTACCTAACAGGTACC